CTCCTTGTTTAAATCTGATCAACTTTGCTTCATCATGTCATAACAAAATGTTCATCAGGGAAAAGATACAAAATGTAACCTTGACCTTTGACCCAATGACCTTGAAATTTGGTCAGGTTGACTCCTTATTTAATTCTGATCAACTTTGCTTCATCATGTCATAACAAAATGTTCATCAGTGAAAAGATACAATAATTGACCTTGACCTTAAGTCACCTGACTCCTTTTTAAATTCAGACCAACTTTGCTTCATAATGTCATAACAAAATGTTTATCAGAGAAAAGATACAAAATTTAACCTTCACCTTTGACCCAATGACCTTGACCTTTGGTCAATTGACTCCTTGTTTAATTCTGAGCAACATTGCTTCAAAGTGTCATACCAAAATGTTCACCAGTGAAAATATACAAAATTTACCCTTGACATTCTACCCAATAACCTTGACATTTGGTCAGGTTGACTCCATGTTTAATTCTGATCAACTTTGCTTCATCATGTCATAACAAAATGTTCATCAGTGAAAAGATACAAAATTTAACCTTGACCTTGACATTTGGTCAGGTTGACTCCTTGTTTATTTCTGATCAACTTTGCTTCATCATGTCATAACAAAATGTTCATTAGTGAAAAGATGCAAAATTTGACCTTGACATTTGAATCTACTGACCTTAACCTTTGACCTCAACTTTTTACCTCGGTGTGTCTCTTTGTTTAATTCCGAACAACTTTGCTTCATGTCATAAAATGGTCATTAGTGAAAAGCTACAAAATTTAACCTTGACCCCTGACCTGATGACCTTGACCTTTGGTCAGTTGACTCCTTGTTTAATTCTGAGCAACATTGCTTCAAAATGTCATACCAAAATGTTCACCAGTGAAAATATACAAAATTTAACCTTGACCTTTGACCCAATGACCTTGAAATTTGGTCAGGTTGACTCCTTATTTAATTCTGATCAACTTTGCTTCATCATGTCATAACAAAATGTTCATCAGTGAAAATATGCAAAATTTGTCGGCCAGGAACAAAATTTGTGGACGGACAGACGGACAGACAGACAGAGTGATTACTATAGGGCACCCGTATCTCCGATATAGGGCCCTAATACTATTAACTAGATAAAAGGTCATATCTCCTGTTCTATATTCACCAATTTAACCACACAAAGAAACACATTATTCTTAGTTGTACAGTTTGTATGGAAAATGGAAAGTAGCGAGGTTGAATCAAACCAATACAGGAAAGACATGAAGACCACAGAGAACTGGAGTTAAAACTAGGTGACCGAGCACAGTAAATGGTTTCTCCACAACATCAGGCACCTTTAACGCTGTCTCAGGTCTTGTTTTGCTGTCGCACTGATAAAGACAGTAAAACATCCAACAGATCAAGAATTCTGGCTCACCTAACACCACTAACATGCTGTCTTGTCTAGTCTGGTGTTTCATTCATTCAAATATATTTTATTGACACTGAATAGTCCAAGGGATTGGGCTTTATTTAATTGAAACAGTTCATTTAAAATCCATTGAAACAATGTATGTCCGACACTGCATGTACTTGGTATGTCCATGTACACCTGTTGATAATTCATATGTTTTTAATCGGAGAGACAAATTTACTAATTCTTTAAATGACACTTTCGTTGAACTCAAGTTATGCTTTCATTTGTTAAATCTCTGTGCATTAGACATTTGAGGATGAACTTGCAAAAAAATAATGTACCCACAACAAGTTGGTGAATCTGATTTAAACAAACACAGTTCGGGAAAAAAAACACAGAAATACTTAGGTAAAAAATAAAATAAAATAAATATATATATTAAGCAGTTTGACAGTTGCAATGAGGGACTTAATGAAAAACAGATTGAGAAAAGACTAACTCTAAATGACTATTGCTTTCCTGTCTTCGTCAGCAAATGAAAGGAACATTCACCAGATTTTCTAGACTAATAGTGAAGTTGCTAGTTAAAGATGGACCCACTAAACAAGGAAACAGGTAACCTTTGGTAATAATCCTGAAAATTGGTAACATACCAACGTAACAAACACAAGAAAACAACCAGCCTTTCCTCAATTGTTTAAGATATTGCAAATAAGTGTAAAGGACCAATTAGCAGATCATATGATGGCTAATTGTTTAAACCTTATCAACATGGAGTCAAATAGCCGATAATGTACCATGCGCTCATTTACTAGAAAGTCTTTTGTTATGCCACAGACAAGAGAAAATTGTTTTATATTTTTTTGTCAACAGAAAAACAGCATTTGAAATAAGAGATCTCGGAGGGATCTTGGCCCACCATCGTACCATCTTCATTTTGTCAGTTTGATCTCTTCTCTTCTTTTCTCTTATCTGTTAGATCGAGTCATGTGCACAGTAAATGCAACTTAACTCACTTTTGATCTAAACTTCATACTGCTGCGTTTAAAAGACAACTGTGAAAGTGAGTTTGTCGTTTCACATACTTACCAGTACAGTACTTAATGTGAAATAATTAGAACCAATATGAGAAATATCTGTTAAGTACTTACTGGGAAATAGTGATAATGTTCTTAAAATATCAAAATCCAATATGATCACCGGCTGCCATTTTCTTTTTAAGATCAGTCTCAACAGCCATCTTGTTCTTCTGATTAGTTTCAAAAGTAAACATGCACAGCTAAGGACCAAGGGGAACCTTACTATCAAATTTGAGAAAGATCCCTATAGTTATTTCTGAGAAGTAGTAATAACAAACTTTAACTGTCAAAAGAGCCAAGTGAAACCTACATATCAAATTTAAGAAAGATTCCTCCTGTACTTCCTGAGAAATAGTGCTTACAAACTTTAACTGTCCTTTTGGTAGTAGCAATGATTTTGCTCTAGTATGACAATTATTTCGTCTTGGAAAATTGGCCGCTGATTTTTCTTTGAACGCTTAGAATTTCAAAATGTTTGTCATGTGCTCAGAACATTTTATTCCTCTTATTAAATTCACCACGGACACAACTACCGGTATGTTTATGTGAGACATTCATACATATTTTGACATTCAAGAACAAAACAAAACGATTAAAGGTTTTAAATTTTAATTTGCATTATTATTTCATCATTTTATAGCAAGATAGAAATATTATAAAATTGACTGACAACATGCCTTTCAAATAACATGTATAAAATTTACTATATTACAAATATACTGGAGATAACGTAAGTTTTAATAAATATGCTACAGTAAGTATGTACAAAATTTACAATGCTTTTCTGTATTTGTGACTATGCTTACCTCTGTTAATTGAACACATGCATATAAACCAATTAACACTAATATTAGTGAGCAGTCATTTTGGTTCATAATAAAAAAAATTGTCAAGTTGTAATGGTTTGTTGAATACAAGTAGTTCTTTCCAAATTATATCAATAACAATTCATGATCCTTTTTTCAGTGAGAGGTGAACAAATCCAATTATTTCATTCATCCTTTAGGTATTTGTTTTTTAGATGTGCTGATTTATAGCAATATACTGTGAAGTCACTAATTTGTGTGGGTTTTTTAATTTCATTGACTTCGTGGGTAACCTTCATCCATGAAATTCATAGGTCAATGAAAAATTATATAAAGTAATTTCTCCATTTCAGTGGGTACTCGTAATTCACAAATTCATGTACCCATAAAATGGTGTTTTGTCAGGAACCCCAAAATTTGGGCCACACAAAAATATTGGATTTCACAGTATGACTTTTTCACAGTGAAGGAAGAACAAGGTAACTTTTCTGTCAGATTGGTGAAACTGTCATCGTAAATCAAATGAAACCTTTCTTTTGTAATAAAAGGGACAGATAGCTTTAATATGTTGATGTGGATTTGGTAGTACACGCTTTTACATACAAACACATACAGCAGACTCAAATCAAAGTGATGAATCTCATTCCGAGGATCAAATATTTTCTTTTTCTACAATTTAAATCGCACAAACAGTACTAAAAATAATCTGTAATCGGTCTGTAACGAACAACCTCATTTATTAAATTAACAATCAATATGCATGTACTACTTGTATTCCCCTCCCAATGAAATGTGCTACAATAGCAGAACTGATTTGGTAGGCATTCATTTGAAAATCATGGAAAAAAGTGACAAATATTATTTCCTCAAAAGTATAGCTGCTACAGAGAGACGACAGTGTATCTGGACGGGATAGGGACGGGATGGAAACAGGTTATTCTATATATACCCCCAATGAAATTAAAGAGTGAATAGACTAAAGCAACAATTAAAGTATGGGAAATTTACAAATGAGATGAATTTCATTAATGTGGGTTCGTGAATACCACATCTTTAAACTTTTCACTATAAACTTTTCATATACAAAGGCTGTTGTTATGAAAAGGGAGGACATTTTTGTCCTATAAAATTCCTTTTCAAGGAGGAATAACAAGATGAAGTGATTACTTCTACAATCAAATTATCTAGCACTATCTATTAAAAAACAAAAACAAAAGAAGTCTTACACAAGACTTGTACAGAAAAACAATATAACAATTATGTACTTTGCGTATTTATAATCATAACAAATAAATAAGTGGAAATAAGAAAAAAAATTTTTTGATGATTACGATGGAATATACTTAATTTTAAAAAACTAGGCTTAATCAATTAACAAGTCCTTTGATAGTACACTTGGTCATCTGCTCACAATTTCTCTACAAGTTTTACTAATTTTACATTGATTAATAGGCTATAACTAATCTAAACTTTTAAATGTATTTTGTTATCAATAAGACCGCTCACATGGATGAAAGCATTCAAAATTGATAACAAAGATGATTAAAAAAGACATTTCAAAATCTATTGTTACCTGACTCGCTATATAAATGCATATTAATCAATTTTGACTGTTTCCCAGACAATTCACCGAACGAACTATAGCTAATGTGTGCTACCGTAAAACTGTTGACTGGTCACCATAAAACTGTTGACTGGTCACGTGCAACTGTTGACTGGTCACATGTTAGGTAATCGAACGCACCTATAATTACAAGCACCCCGATGACCAAGCGTTTTTGGTACTGGATTGTTGACGGTCGTCGCATCTCACAAGCATCCACTGTATACTGTTTTTTCCTCAGACTTGCATTTTTTTGTTTTTGATTACAAGTTATGAAGGTCAAGAGAAATCTGGAAAAATACAAACATTTAAGAAGAAAAACACATCGACTTTTCTCTGATATTTTAAATGAAACATTCCCTGACATATAAAATTTGAAGTGAATACAAATCAAAATTTCTATGAATTTTATTATTTTATTTTATATATTTTTTTATTTTTAAGGCTGAATGTTCTCTCCCCTTTCAATGCTTAGTCAAGACGCTAATGCTCCAGAAAAAACACTTTAGTAGAGGAAGTTGACCTTACTGGTATTAAATGAGACCATGGTAGGTTCTAAAAATCTAGCATCCTGTGTGTGAAGTAGGCACGGAAATATTAACCTTAATTTTTTTGAGGTCAAGCATGAGGCTTTGCAAGATTTCTCTTGTCTACATCAAACAGAAAAAGGTTTATTTTTCTCCCACCCTCTCCTATCACAAAAATCAGCTGCAACGGTAAACCCAGTGTACCACGCCATCGTTAATAGTGCACGAAATGTGTGACGAAATTTATGACGTTACCCAGGTTACATTACATAATGTGATGAGCAATGGTTATGTTTTCAGAATGTAAGCTCTTGTTTTTTCCACCTAGATAGCTGAAGAGATGTTTATCTTTCCCTAGCAATAGAGAAATATACCACTGACATCCCTATGGTGAAGACACAATGTTATCTTGATGCTTGTGAGATGTGACATCTAGAAAATTAAAAGGTTACTCGTTGAATATCGTATATATGTATTAGGTGTACGATAATTCCTGTAAATGTCAGAAAATCTATCGTACTCATGAAATATACATGATATTCAGTGGGAAATAATTACCCCTTCCACAGATATTCTATAAAAAAAGAATTTCCGAAACTTCATTTGGCTGATGCAAGAAGCAGATGGAATTAGGGGCCCATACAGATAGATTTTGAAATGTTAAAGTTTGGTTCTGTAAAACATAGACTTTGAAATAATTAAATGCTTGTTACAGTTTGGTTCTGGTTTTCCAATCTAACAAGATTCCACTGTATATCAAACAGAATAGACAGTAACGCTATGATTACCCAACAATTTCTTTTTAAAAATGATTTGAATGCTGAAGATGCCTTGACCAGTAACTGCAGTGATAACCAATGAATTACTTTCAGCGACTTGTCCTTACATTGACAATGTCCGTGAGAATTCAGAAATTTACAATTCAGATAGAAATGTAAGACTTGTGACAATAAATCACAATTTCTTTTTGTCATGAAGTTGCAGATGATGACGATGACGACGACAGATGTCAATGTGACGATGACGATGACAGATGTCAATGTGACGATGACGATACAGAAGCCCCACTGTTGACAGATGAAGAGTACTGTCTGTCCATGACACAACATCATCGTTAAGTAACTGTAGGCAAGTTTGATTTCTGTGATGACGAATGATGAGGGATGATGACACCAATGCTAGCACCGTCTGTCTACAATCACATTGCCGTCCTTGTCCTTTACGCGTATCCTGCCATTTGAGTACCGCGTTTCCTGTCGGCCATCTGGATACACTGTCTTCACAGTTCCATCTGGATATTCTCGTCTCTGGCAAAAAAAAAGATAAACACTCAGTTTTTTAAACTTCTTAACTGCTAAAAGATAATTGAAATAAAATTTTAGGTTTTTCATATTTTCCTCTAAAACTCATTAATGAAATGAAATTCTAATTATTGTTTTTAAATTTTTCTGACACCAATTAATGAAATTATGAAAAAGTGATGTGCCAGAATAAATTTGCAGTTGTAATTAGGTGTTGGGGAAAACCACCCAATGTACCTCTTCCTACTATCACACTAGCTGTAATCTATAGGAATCATTTTGATGGGTATCTGGTTCAGCACTTAGTCATTTGATCACAGGAACAGCGAAATACCTACGCATAAACAATATCAACTGTCCATAATAAGTTAAGCCTTCTGATAACGCTCTTCACACTGTCCAATCTTCAAATCTCTCAGATTGGTCAGGATTTTGTTTAGATACGTTTCACAGTGTCTTGCACATAAAAGTGCACTATAATAAATCAGACAATTGTAGCCATTCATTGATTAGCTAGGACAGCCTTCTACTGAAGAAACCATATGATAATCTTAGTGTATTTGAGAGATGAAATTTAGCACAAGCAGAAAGCAATGTCACAATTTTATCTTTACCCTACACAAGAAGACAATCGTGTCCGCAATAGAAGGAAATGTCAATTTTTTCATAGATTTTTCCGAGTTAAAACTACCAATGTTAACTTTCAATATTAAGAAATACAATTTTCTATTGATTAAAATGTCTCCAGCAGTGAAACACATCAAATGGAAAAGAGCTTTGCATTATCACAAGGGGTGGCAGTGCTATCATGGTCTGTTTAGAGAGTTATATAGAATGAGCTGTGCTATTGTGATACACAGTTCCCACTCCATACCCTGTATTCCTGGGTGTGTATCTCTGTTTATATAGTTATACAATATGAGCTGTGATCCTGTGATCTCCCTCTGTTTATATAGTTATACAATATGAGCTGTGATCCTGTGATCTCCCTCTGTTTATATAGCTATACAATATGAGCCGTGATCCTGTGATTTACTAACGATACAGTTCCCACTCCATACCTTGTATTCCTGGGTGTGTATCTCCCTCTGTCCATTTGGAAACTCCATGGTTTTATCTCCATTCTTGTCCACTCGTATAACTGTTCCGTCTGGAAATATGCTCTCCTCTGACCCATTTTGAAATAAATACTTGATCGTCTGATCCGGGAAAATTATTTCTTTAGTCTTGTCTGGATAGTGTTTCTCCACTTGATTACTATAGGGTACAAACATTTAAAAGATTATCATTGGACGGGGTTCTTCAGGAATAGGGATATACTTATATGTCTGAAGTTGTTTTTACGGCAAACCATGGTCAAGACTTTCAAGACCTGTACTAACATAAACAGGTCTTCCTGTATAACTCCTAAACATTTCTGTTATGTTGGCACCAGAATGAATATGATAGCCTTCAGAGTTCAAACCTGCCTTATGGATGAAACTAGGTTTTGTTGAGTCCTTGATTTCTCATAAGTTACATAATAATGTAAAGATGTAAAAGTGCATGACTTTTTGCAGATTTTCAGAAGCATGGCCATTTTCATTCAATACAAACACATAGACCACAGACTGATTCCCTAACATATACCAGGGTATGTATTACAAGCATGCTAAGGATTCTGTCAAATCTAGATTTCAAATAGCTGTCTAGTTCTCCATACAAAACAATATTTGAGAATTAACAATGATATTTATTAAAAGAGCCCAGACTAATTGTAAAGGCAGAGCTTACTTTGGGAACTGAAGTATCTCGAGGCCATCAGGGTAGGTGGAGTGTGTTGTCTGTGCCTCACAGTAGTAGTACACCTGTTGACACGGGTAAAACAAATCATGTGAGAAATCCTTTGATTTAGCAGGGTTACAGTACACTGAAAAACTTCACCAGTCAAATACCCACCTTTCACCCAGTCAAATACCCACCTTTCACCCAATCAAATACCCACCTTTCACCCAGTCAAATACCCACCTTTCACCAGTCAAATACCCACCTTTCACCAGTCAAATACCCACCTTTTACCAAGTCAAATACCCACCTTTCACCAGTCAAATACCCACCTTTCACCCAGTCAAATACCCACCTTTCACCAGTCAAATACCCACTTTTCACCAGTAAAACTCATATTTGTCCAACGTTAATTTTGCCCTTCACATGTAATTACTATATAATGTATGTATGGTAGGTTGTTTACCAATATTCAATGTCATTATAAATTAATTTCACCTCATTGGGCAGGACAAAAATGGCAAAAGTTAAACTATAGCAAAAATTTACCAATATACAGTAACTGTTTACAGCTTCTAAAATTGTATTTATATGTGTTGTTAAAATACCTGCTCTCTCGCATTGAAATCATTTGATGTCCAACAACATCAATATGAAACCAGAACCAGGACTTTAAACTCACAATTCGCTGGTCCGGCATAATCTGCTTGATGTCTCCATTAAAGAAGGAGACAATGATTGTCTGTGCGTCTGCTGAGATCTCCTTCCGTGTCCCGTTGGAGAACAGGATCTCCCTAGCACCGGTTCTGTACACTCGCTCCAGCTGAAACAAGTCCAGGTTTACATGTTATTTTTAGTCTAGATTTAATCATACCTCAACCGTGTTATAAATAAACATTGACTTCCATGTTATGCTGTGAACATACACCGTAATATTTTCTGTATAATGTAAAATCATCCATTGTTAAGTCAGTATTAAGATATTTGACAGGACATCATGGTACTTTGACATTGAGACACGAATTGAAGATAGAAGACATGAGGGTACTACACTTGTTTTTCATTGATAATTGCATTCTTCGGGCCGTACCGTAATTAGCTGTAGAGGAGGGGTGAGAGGCACTTCGGGCCGTACCGTAATTGGCTGTAGAGGAGGGGTGAGAGGCACTTCAGGCTGTACCGTAATTAGCTGTAGAGGAGGGGTGAGAAGCACTTCGGGCCTTACTGTAATTAGCTGTAGAGGAGGGGTGAGAGGCACTTCGGGCTGTACCGTAATTAGCTGTTGGGGAGGGGTGAGAGGCACATCGGGCTGTACCTTAATAAGCTGTAGAGGAGGGGTGAGAGGCACTTCGGGCCGTACCGTAATTAGCTGTAGGGGAGGGGTGAGAGGCACTCGGGGCCGTATCGTAATTAGCTGTAGGGGAGGGGTGAGAGGCACTCGGGGCAGTACCGTAATTAGCTGTAGAGGAGGGGGGAGAGGCACTTCGGGCAGTACCGTAATTAGCTGTAGAGGAGGGGGGAGAAGCACTTCGGGCCGTACTGTAATTAGCTGTAGAGGAGGGGTGAGAGGCACTTCGGGCTGTACCGTAATAAGCGGTAGGGGAAGGGTGAGAGGCACTTCGAGCTGTACCGTAATAAGCTGTAGAGGAGGGGTGAGAGGCACTGCGGGCTGTACCGTAATTAGCTGTAGAGGAAGGGTGAGAGGCACTTCGGGCTGTACCGTAATAAGCGGTAGGCGAAGGGTGAGAGGCACTTCGAGCTGTACCGTAATAAGCGGTAGAGGAGGGGTGAGAGGCAGTTCGGGCCGTATCGTAATTAGCTGTAGGGGAGGGGTGAGAGGCACTGCGGGCCGTACCGTAATTAGCTGTAGAGGAGGGGAGAGAGGCACTTCGGGCAGTACCGTAATTAGCTGTAGGGGAGGGGGGAGAGGCACTCGGGGCAGTACCGTAATTAGCTGTAGAGGAGGGGTGAGAGGCACTTCGGGAGGAAGGGTGAGACGCACTTCGGGCTGTACCGTAATTAGCTGTAGGGGAGGGGGGAGAGGCACTCGGGGCAGTACCGTAATTAGCTGTAGAGGAGCGGTGAGAGGCACTACGGGCTGTACCGTAATTAGGTGTAGAGGAGGGGTGAGAGGCACTTCGGGAGGAAGGGTGAGACGCACTTCGGGCTGTACCGTAATTAGCTGTAGAGGAAGGGTGAGAGGCACTTCGGGCAGTACCGTAATTAGCTGTAGAGGAGGGGTGAGAGGCTCTTCGGGCAGTACTGTATTTAGCTGTACAGGAGGGTCGAGAGGCACTTCGGGCTGTACCGTAATAAGCGGTAGGCGAAGGGTGAGAGGCACTTCGAGCTGTACCATAATAAGCTGTAGAGGAGGGGTGAGAGGCACTACAGGCTGTACCGTAATTAGCTGTAGAGGAGGGTTGAGAGGCTCTTCGGGCAGTACTGTATTTAGCTGGAGAGGAGGGTCGAGAGGCACTTCGGGCTGTACCGTAATAAGCTGTAGAGGAGGGGTTAGAGGCACTTCAGGCCGTACCGTAATTAGCTGTAGAGGAGCGGTGAGAGGCACTACGGGCTGTACCGTAATTAGCTGGAGAGGAGGGGTGAGAGGCACTTCGGGCGGTACCGTAGTTAGCTGTAGAGGAGGGGTGAGAGGCACTTTGGGCTGTAGCACTTCAGGCTGTACCGTAATTAGCTGTAGAGGAGGGTTGAGAGGCTCTTCGGGCAGTACTGTATTTAGCTGGAGAGGAGGGTCGAGAGGCACTTCGGGCGGTACCGTAATAAGCGGTAGGGGAAGGGGGAGAGGCACTTCGAGCTGTACCGTAATAAGCTGAAGAGGAGGGGTGAGAGGCACTTCAGGCCGTACCGTAATTAGCTGTAGGGGAGGGGTGAGAGGCACTCGGGGCTGTACCGTAATTAGCTGTAGAGGAGGGTTGAGAGGCTCTTCGGGCAGTACTGTATTTAGCTGTAGAGGAGGGTCGAGAGGCACTTCGGGCTGTACCGTAATAAGCTGTAGGGGAGGAGTGAGAGGCACTTCGGGCCGTACCGTAATTAGCTGTAGAGGAGGGGTGAGAGGCACTACGGGCTGTACCGTAATTAGCTGGAGAGGAGGGGTGAGAGGCACTTCGGGCTGTACCGTAAATAGCTGTTGGGAAGGGGTGAGTGGCACATCGGGCTGTACCTTAATAAGCTGTAGGGGAGGGGTGAGAGGCACTTCGGGCTGTACCGTAATTAGCTGTTGGGGAGGGGCGGGTGGCACATCGGGCTGTACCTTAATAAGCTGTAGGGGAGAGGTGAGAGGCACTTCGGGCTGTACCGTAATTAGCTGTTGGGGAGGGGCGGGTGGCACATCGGGCTGTACCTTAATAAGCTGTAGGGGAGAGGTGAGAGGCACTTCGGGCTGTACCGTAATTAGCTGTAGAGGAGCGGTGAGAGGCACTACGGGCTGTACCGTAATTAGCTGTAGAGGAGGGGAGAGAGGCACTTCGGGCAGTACCGTAATTAGCTGCAGAGGAGGGGTGAGAGGCACTTCAGGCTGTACCGTAATTAGCTGTAGAGGAGGGGTGAGAGGCACTACGGGCTGTACCGTAATTAGCTGTAGAGGAGGGTTGAGAGGCTCTTCGAGCAGTACTGTAATTAGCCGTAGAGGAGGGGTGAGAGGCACTCAGGGCTGTACTGTAATTAGCTGTAGGGGAGGGGTGAGAGGCACTCGGGGCAGTACCGTAATTAGCTGTAGAGGAGGGGGGAGAGGCACTCAGGGCTGTACTGTAATTAGCTGTAGGGGAGGGGGGAGAGGCACTTCGGGCTGTACCGTAATTAGCTGTAGGGGAGGGTTGAGAGGCTCTTCGAGCAGTACTGTAATTAGCCGTAGAGGAGGGGTGAGAGGCACTCAGGGCTGTACCGTAATTAGCTGTAGAGGAGGGTTGAGAGGCTCTTCGGGCAGTACTGTAATTAGCTGTAGAGGAGGGGTGAGAGGCACTTCAGGCTGTACCGTAATTAGCTGCAGAGGAGGGGTGAGAGGCACTTCAGGCTGTACCGTAATTAGCTGCAGAGGAGGGGTGAGAGGCACTTCAGGCTGTACCGTAATTAGCTGCAGAGGAGGGGTGAGAGGCACTTCAGGCTGTACCGTAATTAGCTGCAGAGGAGGGGTGAGAGGCACTTCAGGCTGTACCGTAATTAGCTGCAGAGGAGGGGTGAGAGGCACTTCAGGCTGTACCGTAATTAGCTGCAGAGGAGGGGTGAGAGGCACTTCAGGCTGTACCGTAATTAGCTGCAGAGGAGGGGTGAGAGGCACTTCAGGCTGTACCGTAATTAGCTGCAGAGGAGGGGTGAGAGGCACTTCAGGCTGTACCGTAATTAGCTGTAGAGGAGGGGTGAGAGGCACTCAGGGCTGTACTGTAATTAGCTGTAGGGGAGGGGTGAGAGGCACTTCGGGCTGTACCGTAATTAGCTGTAGAGGAGGGTTGAGAGGCTCTTCGAGCAGTACTGTAATTAGCTGTAGAGGAGGGGTGAGAGGCACTCAGGGCTGTACTGTAATTAGCTGTAGGGGAGGGGTGAGAGGCACTTGGGGCCGTACCGTAATTAGCTGTAGGGGAGGGGTGAGAGGCACTTGGGGCCGTACCGTAATTAGCTGTGGGGGAGGGGTGAGAGGCACTTCGAGCTGTACCGTAATAAGCTGTAGGGGAGGAGTGAGAGGCACTTCGGGCTGTACTGTAATTAGCTGTAGAGGAGCGGTGAGAGGCACTTCGGGCGGGACTGTAATTAGCTGTAGAGGAGGGGAGAGAGGCACTCAGGGCTGTACTGTAATTAGCTGTAGGGGAGGAGTGAGAGGCACTTCGGGCCGTACTGTAATTAGCTGTAGAGGAGCGGTGAGAGGCACTTCGGGCGGTACTGTAATTAGCTGTAGAGGAGGGGTGAGAGGCACTTCGGGGTGTACCGTAATTAGCTGCAGAGGAGGGGTGAGAGGCACTTCAGGCTGTACCGTAATTAGCTGCAGAGGAGGGGTGAGAGGCACTTCGGGCCGTACTGTAATTAGCTGTAGAGGTGAGAGGCACTTTTCAGAGACCCCACCACCTATAAATTCTTTCAAGTGATTTGATATAAGGAGTGGTAGGCAGATCTGGATTAAACCCCACCACCCATAATATATCAATTCAGGTACCTTCCACCTCCCCCATACAATAAATTATGGAACAGCCCTTAGAGACAAAAAGGAAATTGAAATTTGTTTACAATTAAAATAAGATTCACTAATTTAACATAAAGTTGTGTTTTAAGTCAGCAGAGTCTCGCTGAAAATGGATACTTAAAGACTTGTCTCATATATCTCATGGAAAGCGAAACAGTGTAAGATATTTAGCACTGGTGTCCGACACACTATTCAGTTCTTCAGCATTAGTCATGATTAAAATTCACTGAAAGAAAAAAAATTCTTATAAATAAGGTTCAACTGGCATTGGCAGTTATGGGAATATCATTTCCTTACACAATTTATCATTTTTTTATATTAAACATATACATAACCCTGTCCCCCGATTTTCATAGTAAGACTCTGACTCACCTTGCCATCTGAATGCTGTAGTTCATCAAATCGACTGTCACCTTTGTCAATGGCCGACTTGTCAATGTTGAATTTTGTCGCCTTCTTTCTAGGGATGGTATTGCTATATGGGGCATCCTCTGTGTCGGTATACATACTGGTGCTGAAGGGCAGATTAGTCTAAGTATTACAATAATAAAATTATGTTTGGTTTGGTTTGGTTTCATTTTGTTTAACAACCTCTTAACAGCTAAGGTCATTTAAGAACGTGCCTCCATGTGTGTTGTGTATGCATGCATGCATTTATATGTGCCGGAGACAGGGTATGTTGGTGTACTTGCCTCCTTGTGATAGCGCGATCTGATGCCGACTTTATACTGCTATCTCATTGAAATACCATGTCTTTGGCTCTGATGAGTAATTTATCAAATAAATCAAACAAGGAATTTGGGAAAATTGTGAATTTATAAGAAATATATAAAAAGTCTAAAAGTGCACCTATTTAGTGGTATGCAGCCATTACTCTACAGTTGCCTCCCCTACTTACTCCTGTGGTACTGCAGCTGCTGACGGCATTTGTCGCGGTACATCCTCAGTAAGTGACGTCCGTAACATATTTCCCTTGTCAAGATGGTTGCTATCCTTGCCTGATGAAGATGACCATGAATTGGCTGCAGGTTTGGACTGACCACTACTCTGACCTGTATGTTTCTGCTGACCACCACTAGCTCCTGAACTGACAACTTGGTGTTTAGAGTGACCACTTCCTAAAGTAGATCCTTGACTAGTCTGGACATTCCCCATTTGTTTTGATTGACCACCTCCAGTGGATGACACTTGACCAGTTTTGCCTGGTGGTTTGGACAGGTTGTTTAACCCTACAGTTGCCCCTGGTTGGGGATGCTGGAGCCTGACCCCCTGAGTCCCTGAGGAAATAGAGGGTGGGGGAGCTCGGACATTGACCTGAGGCTGGAACTGTGAGGGGCGAAGATTCATCTGTACTGAACCGGAGTGGGAAACAGAGGACGGAGGGTACGACAACCGACTACTGGGCTGATCTGTGGAAACAAAGAAGTTACATTATCAAATGAAAAACAGTTCTATGTGGTACTGTTAAAGAACTATGAAAGCTGATCTTTAAATAACTGATGTAATAAATGAAAGTATGCATAACTAAGCATTTGTAAAAACAAGTCACACAACTTCAAGTCATTGAGACTTCAGACCTTCTTTCTCTATAGGTATAGTAGAAACTTCGGTGGAAATGTTTGGAGAATTATTGATGATAAACATTCCCAAACAGACAGGAAAATGTTGTTGAATCATTCCTACAAAAATCCTTATTTTAGCCTCACAAATCCAACACACAAAATCTTATTTTATCAAGTTGTTCACCTCGGACTGGATCCTTTTCCTCCTCAGAATCTGTGGTCTGGAAATCGGCAGAACTTACAACTGGATTGCGAAAATGTGTGGAGTCACGCGACATATGGATATTGTCTTTTCCTGCTGTAGAGTTTCCCTAAAGGAATAAAAACAGGTTAACCGAGACTAGGAAAGCAACTTTGGAATCAAACTGTTCTCAGAGTCTAATGTCATGTGTTAATGCCGGACATTTTATATGCAAAGAAGTAGAAAAACACATAGTTTTGAGTTTGAACCCAGCGCTGTGCTCAACTCTACTCTCGATTAACTTAGTCTTTAGGTCATTTTCCTAACCTTAACATTTGACTTATTCCTAAAATAGCCCTAATTTCAATATTTGATGTTTTCCAAATCTTAATACCCCGGTATGTGACATTTTGCTATTATTAAGATGGATCATTTTTCTGATTTTAAGATGTGACCTTTTCCTAATTTTCCATTTCATCTTTTGTCAATACATGAAATATCTCTACAATCATCTATAAGAAATTCCATGGAGATTACTTTTCCAGTTTGTTCCTTCTGTAACCATTCCAGGCGTTTCTTTTCCATCAGGTTAATTTCTTCCTTAAGTTCACCATTCTCCTGCTCCAGTTGGTCTATTTTACTGCGTAGACGTGACGTGCTGTTGGTCCAACGTGTATCTTTTCTTTTAATTTCTTCCTGGAGCTCCTGGAGCTGTACACAACCAAACAAAGAAAATCTTTAAGATTATTTGTACGCTTGTATGAGTTTTATGTCTTTGGACAGGTGATGTTCAAATTGCAGATATAAGGAAACTTCACAAAATTGAAAATGCTTAATTTCATCATGTAAAACACTACAATCGTACTTAAGACGAGAAACAAAAGATACTGATGCAGTAATTCTCGACAGTACAGCAACAGACTGCAGAGCATAATTATGCTGAAACTATTGAAAGCGATTAAAAATCCCAGCACACTGATTTACAAGTTTACCTGTCTTTTAAGCATCTCTATTTCCTCTCTCTCCTTCTTATCTGGTATTGACCGTGATGCCTTCTGGTATTTTTCAAACATTTTCTTTTCATGCCTGTCCAAAAAGAAATTAAAGAACATAGTAAATGCAGGTTAAAATTTTAAATCTAACTGTAAAGTATTCACATAAAGCAGTCATACTACCATATTTAAAACTCTCATCATTTTCAATCAAAGATTTTTGGAGAGCTTCAAAATGCTTTTTTGAAGCATCAATCTTACCTGGCTTTAGATATCACCTTTCAAATATTATCCTGTTAATTTGATTTATCAACACTCTTACAGATATTTATAAGCTTAGTTATTATGGAGACTTAAAGAAGTATGCTATCTTAATGTAAAATGAAGACTTAAGGACATATGCTACCTTCCTGTGACATGTTCAAACTTTTGACTCAGAAATAATCTTTATATTAGATCAATTCCAACTAATTATAATATTTCCTACAACATGCACTTACCTCAGTTTCTTCATTTCCTCCTTTTTGTAATCTTGTATTCGTTGCAGTTCTGTATTCTTTTCTATCTCAAAATCTCCAATTTCCTTTTTCAATTTCGTCAAACCCTAAAATTAATGTTTCCCAAAAAAACCCACTGATGTTAAAAGGTAATAGTTGAAAAACAACACCTAAACATACTATTTCAGGGTTAAAACCTGACAGACCTGCAAATGTTTGTGTAATCATAGAAGAACAACTTTGTTTGAACAATGACAGGGGCCCTCCTGTTTCAAGTCTGTATTTGAAACCGCATTTGTGTAACCAAAAAAACAACTGGTGAATTAATATTAATTTTGAAGTCATCATATCCATCAAGTCAACTTATTGATAGTGTGAAAGAAACTTGTCGACTTATTTTGAAAGTTTCAGTGGAGTCTTACCTCTTCTCTTTCTTTCCTTAATTTCTCTAAGTTTGCGTTTTCACTCCTGAACTTCTCAATCTCCTTCTCCAGTTCGGTAAGTTTCTCTCGCAGTAACTTGGACTGGACACCATCCGCTGATGATGCAGAACTTGTGGTTTGCATCTTTTGCTCCTAATAATGTACATAAATATGACTCAAGTTAATCCTTAATGCTATATAGGGTAACACTCATAGAATTTTGTTTATAATTTGCACAGAGAGTATCAGAAAAACTTAACCATGGATAAATAATAAAGTTCTGGGGTCAAGTCAATATTTTTTTTTCAAATATTTTTATTTTCTTATTGATTAAATTTTTGAAAATGGAAAATAGAACTTCCTTTATTTTTTTTTATCTTTTAATCATCAACAAAGTCTGTACAGTTGAATTTTTTCATCAAGGCACCAGTTTCCAGCTGAAGTGATGTATCGTAAACCAATTACATTGTACTGGGATACTTTCAGGTCAGAAAATCTGCCCACTGCACCACTCTCTGAACAATGGGACAAATAACTTAATCGTGGTTGCAGACAGGGTTGGATTATTGTATAGTTTGTATAGCTTTATAGGAAGAATGTAAAAATAAGATATCTGGATGAACTCAATTTCTTTTTACAAGTTTCAAATCCTGAGTTAAAATAAGGCTATGCTGTACTATATAACATCTATGCAGATTAAATATCATACATCCATGCTTGTGTAAAAGACATGTGCTGAAAATAAATTGATCACCAATATTGGACTATTTAACAATACCTGTAGTTGCTGTAGTTTGGATGGCTGAGGTTTAAGTTTGGGGAACAGTCGAGTCATGAGCTGAGAAGTGGGAGGAGTTCCGTCACTGCCTTCAGCTCCGGCACCACCTGGTGATGTTAAAATAAAACAGTAACCTTAGAAACAGAACAGGCTCATTTTACAGAGGTTTACAAACCTCCCTTATAAACAATGATTTTTTTCTTCGTTTGACAAAATGATATTTATTAGTGTATCAAATATGCTTTATTAGGTTTAAGTTGTGAAAGAATCTGACAAATACATTTGTACATTAAAGAAGAACGTCTATCATACTAACTAGTTTTGAAATATTGTCAAAGATTGAAGCATCCATTCAGATAGGACAGTATACACAAAAACTCATATTTTTCACACACACCTTTGAAAGAAAACAATTTAAAATCTGACAAAACATGAATATTCATACAACAGTGTCCATTTACATCGAAGTAAAATTGAGGTACCAACCTGGTAAGTTTATATCTAATTATATACCTGTTTTCATCTTTTCTTGCTCCAAACTCTTGCGAGGTGACTTTGATTTCAATGTTGTTTCTCCCCATTCCTCCTCATCATCAAAGTCATTATCATCTTCACTTTCCTGATTTTCCTCCTCCGTCCTTCTGTGTCCAGCACTGTCACTCCGTGAGAAACCCATTAGATTTTGTTTTGTTTCGATGAAGGACTGAATTTGTGGCCTTGAACTCTTACCACTGATTTTCAAAGCCGAGTATGACGTATCACTATCATTTCCAGAATTTTCATCTCCGTCTTTCGACGATAAGTCAGAGGAAATTCTAGGACTAGAAAATTTACCATGAATTTGAAAATCATTCTCGGCATCTTCTTCATCCTCCTTTTCCACAATGTTTTCTTTAACCTGAGGAAGTGAGCTAGGAATCGAAGTACCATGTGATGCAGGCAAAACATCACGTGAGATTACGATAGGAGATTTAGCTTGTGGCACATAGGCACTTGAGTTAAAACTAAGATTAAAATTATCTGTGTTCTGCTGCCTGTAATTAGACGATACATAACCTTGATGAGTAGACATTGTTCCTTGTGGAAACTGTGATTGAGAAGGGACGGCACCAGGATTAAGTTTCTGTAACAAATTGGACACAGTACTCATTGCTGATCGGTCCTCCTTGGACGCAACCTTTCTTGTCATAACTTTGGACGGAGATCGTGGGAAAAACATTTCTGAGTCCTCATCAGAATGATTGTCATTCTGACCATGAAGCACAAAATTGTCATTTTCTGTCTGAACATCAGAACTGGTAAAATGACCACTGTTTTTCTGTCCCACCTTTTCTATCACTTCATCAGAGTCACTTGATGAACTTTCTTCTTCTTCATCATCTTCATCTGAACTTCCCTCCTCCTCATTTTTATCGTTATCTTCAGTTTCAGTGTCATCGCTATTTGTATCACTCCAGGACTCGTCATCTTCCTCGATTTTTGGAGAAAGTTTAGATTTTGTTTCCATATGCTGATGAATGGGTAATGACTCCTTGGTTTCTGTTGAAGCATTTGGTCTAAAAAATAAAAATAGGACAGATATGTAATTTTTGACAGAGGTTAATTTGGAATAATCATTCCCCCCCAAAGAAAATAATTTGTGGGATTACTTTTCAAGTTTTATTTTCAAGTTAAGTCTGCATATGCTTTTGAGGGTTCTAGAATTAGCACAGATTTACTTCCAATCCAAGTTTCCTTTTGGTGCAAATATTCATCAAACTTCATGCACACAAAATGTGAATACTCATGAAATATAGAGAGTCATGACATGCTAACACTATGGTGTACTTATATTACAAGGTAATATTTTTGTTGTATTTGTAGCTCTGACAAAGATGTGAAACATAATTTGTGCAAATTCATTGCCATTTTGAGCAAGTTTTAAGTTTTGACTATTAAAAGGTGTTCACAGTTTTCAACCCACAAATAGTTTACAGGAACAGAATTATGGAAATTTTAACTCAAGAAGTCAGAACATAAACTGTATTCGTGAGACATTCATGAGACATACATACTGATATTGAAACATTAACTTCACTGTCAAACTGATCTTTTTAATCCATTCCAAAGAATGCTCTGGAAGTTTCTTTACAATTATCTTACTACAGAAAATCATAAAGACTGGACTACAGGAAAATCTTAGGGACAGTGGAGTGAAGACAAATCCCCCTGATTGGTATCTGTGGAGCGACTGGATGGGGACAGAGCTTGTTCCCCGATTGAAATTGACCTGTGAAAAGATTACTAAAATCTTTTACCTGTAACTGAGCGAGATCGGGTTATCTCAGTCGAGGGTTAAGATTCTGTAACAAAATGTTACAGAATCTTAGCCCGAGACTGAGATAACCCATTCTCGCTCAGTTACAGGTAATTGTTTTTTTTTCTCACACCTTTAGTTCGAAAAGAATTATTGAATTTTGCTAAAAACTACAAGTATCCTGCCTTGGGCCTCAAATGATAATGACCTCTTCACTACTAAAGTTGCATTTGAATGCTTCCACGTACAAAATGTAGACCGTCTTTACATAGATTACCATGTATTTCACAGTGTAGATTATATTTTATCTACAACATCAAATATCTAACAACATCAAAAATATACATTTAACGACAAAACAGAACATTTTTAATGCAAATTGTCAATTTCAAGCAGTTAAAGCGCGGATGAATACATCGCAATGTAAAAATTCCGTGAAATGTCACGTAAAAGTACAAGACAGATCGGACGAGATAGAAAACATTGGGTATAATGTGGGATATCACTGTCTGAGGTGCGAGAAAAACCTGTCTTTCCCTTAGGAACAGCTTACACACGCAATGATGTCACTATGACAGTGATTAACTGATAGTTGGAATTATTGTCGCTAGGAAAGTCTGCCAAATGACGTTCCGTGTTTTGACTGTTAAATTTTCATTTATTTGGTATTTATTACAAGATATATTAACTGATATATTATTGTTGGATAATTAAATAAAAATATTGTAAACGTTGTCCTTTAAATGGATTTCTGACTTTATGTTCAAGGTTCATCACCCCTATAGAATTAACACAATTGCAAATATGTTTCTACTGTATACAGGTAAGTATCATACCAACCTTGATTGTGTAGTACTGTATACAGGTAAGTATCATACCAACCTTGATTGTGTAGTACTGTATACAGGTAAGTATCATACCAACCTTGATTGTGTAGTACTGTATACAGGTAAGTATCATACCAACCTTGATTGTGTAGTACTGTATACAGGTAAGTATCATACCAACCTTGATTGTGTAGTACTGTATACAGGTAAGTATCATACCAACCTTGATTGTGTAGTACTGTATACAGGTAAGTATCATACCAACCTTGATTGTGTAGTACTGTATACAGGTAAGTATCATACCAACCTTGATTGTGTAGTACTGTATACAGGTAAGTATCATACCAACCTTGATTGTGTAGTACTGTATACAGGTAAGTATCATACCAACCTTGATTGTGTAGTACTGTATACAGGTAAGTATCATACCAACCTTGATTGTGTAGTACTGTATACAGGTAAGTATCATACCAACCTTGATTGTGTAGTACTGTATACAGGTAAGTATCATACCAACCTTGATTGTGTAGTACTGTATACAGGTAAGTATCATACCAACCTTGATTGTGTAGTACTGTATACAGGTAAGTATCATACCAACCTTGATTGTGTAGTACTGTATACAGGTAAGTATCATACCAACCTTGATTGTGTAGTACTGTATACAGGTAAGTATCATACCAACCTTGATTGTGTAGTACTGTATACAGGTAAGTATCATACCAACCTTGATTGTGTAGTACTGTATACAGGTAAGTATCATACCAACCTTGATTGTGTAGTACTGTATACAGGTAAGTATCATACCAACCTTGATTGTGTAGTACTGTATACAGGTAAGTATCATACCAACCTTGATTGTGTAGTACTGTATACAGGTAAGTATCATACCAACCTTGATTGTGTAGTACTGTATACAGGTAAGTATCATACCAACCTTGATTGTGTAGTACTGTATACAGGTAAGTATCATACCAACCTTGATTGTGTAGTACTGTATACAGGTAAGTATCATACCAACCTTGATTGTGTAGTACTGTATACAGGTAAGTATCATACCAACCTTGATTGTGTAGTACTGTATACAGGTAAGTATCATACCAACCTTGATTGTGTAGTACTGTATACAGGTAAGTATCATACCAACCTTGATTGTGTAGTACTGTATACAGGTAAGTATCATACCAACCTTGATTGTGTAGTACTGTATACAGGTAAGTATCATACCAACCTTGATTGTGTAGTACTGTATACAGGTAAGTATCATACCAACCTTGATTGTGTAGTACTGTATACAGGTAAGTATCATACCAACCTTGATTGTGTAGTACTGTATACAGGTAAGTATCATACCAACCTTGATTGTGTAGTACTGTATACAGGTAAGTATCATACCAACCTTGATTGTGTAGTACTGTATACAGGTAAGTATCATACCAACCTTGATTGTGTAGTACTGTATACAGGTAAGTATCATACCAACCTTGATTGTGTAGTACTGTATACAGGTAAGTATCATACCAACCTTGATTGTGTAGTACTGTATACAGGTAAGTATCACACCAACCTTGAGTGTGTAGTACTGTATACAGGTGAGTATCATACCAACCTTGATTGTGTAGTACTGTATACAGGTAAGTATCACACCAACCTTGAGTGTGTAGTACTGTATACAGGTAAGTATCATACCAACCTTGATTGTGTAGTGTGTGGATCCTTGTTAACATTGGCTTCAAGTTGCTTAGCTACTGACTGTCTGGGAGACTGCAGGAGATTGTAAATACATGTTAGACGAGTAAATAACATGACAATGGACAAAATATAGATACAAACTTTTAATACTGGAAACAATACGTAATCTTTTGTTTTAATTTATAATACAGGATATCTTATCATGTTAACAGTTTACCACCCTTCAGCTTCTATTGACCTTGACCTACAAAAATTACACATATTAATGGAACGCCTATTATCTTAACTTTCAAATGTTTGAACCTAGGACATGCCCCCAATAGCTTACTTTACTGCTGTGCAAATGCTTTTTTAAACGACTGCTTATTCAAACCATTTATATTTACATGTCTCCCGTTTGGGTTCTGACATTTGATTCTCTACTGTACAATAACATATTGTGTAGTGACCTACACCTAAAATTGAGCCAGAGTCAGACAAAGCAAAGCCTCATCAGGTAATGGTATGAGAAGCCTACCTGCTGCTGCGTCCTGTTCGATTGTCTGAGGCGGTCTCGCTGCATCACCTTGACAACCACTGAAGAGTTACTACAGAAAGATGCATTGTCTGCAAAATTCTCCAGCATTTCAAATTCATCCAAGTCTTCCCTCTCAAACTGAAAATTGTAAACATACTGAAGTTAAGTTTTAAAGGGTATTCGGCAATGTGTGTAATGAAATATAGTTAAATATTATCATTTTACAATATTTTATCAACTAGAACAAGCCACTCTTAGGTGTTTTACAATACAAAGATGTACAATTCCTACGATGAGTAAAATCAATACAATAGAATTTTACAGGAGCTATCTATGGCCCTGACTACTGGTCGTATGCCACTTGGTTCCTACCTGCACATGTCTACAGGAGCTATCTATGGCGCTGACTACTGGTCGTATGCCACTTGGTTCCTACCTGTACATGTCTACATGCTTGTGGATGCATAGAAGTGTTCAATCTGGTGTTGTGATAGTGTTTCCAACAGCCTCTTTTTACCACATTGCCATTTCACTTGAATGTAACAGCACAGACGACACTGTAGAACCTACCAGACCATTGTCTACTCCTCCTTGGTTATTGGAGTTGTGTGGGCAGGAGAAAGCCAGTTCCTCCAGCATACATACACACTCGCACGCTTACACAACACAAGCGTGTTAGATGTTAATAGGACGTCAAACAAAATAATTCCAATTATTATGATCATCACAATATTTCATTATTTTCTCTACTTAGTAGAGAGATTTCTATTTTATAAAGCAAAAAGTTTGAAAATATAGGATGGCAGAAATGTATTGAAAATGAACTGTAAATCCGAACTGTGGACTATATGAAAGGAGGATATCTGGCCAAGTGATCAATAGATTTTCTGAGGTTTGCATAGAAATCTCTCGACTAGAGAAAATAATGAAATATTGTTATGATCATAATTATTAGACTTGGTTGAAAGTTTCATAGGGCAAATAAGGTCTCATAATAACAAATAAACTTCTTCAGAAAAGGAAAATTAAAACCCTCATAATGGTTAAAAAACCACCCTCATAATGGTTAAATAAAAACCCTCATAATGGTTAAATAAAAACCCTCATAATGGTTAAAAAACAACCCTCATAATAATTAAAAAACAACCCTCATAATGGTTAAAAAACTTCTTAACGGAAAAATTAAAGACAAAATTGTAACTTACCTCAACATTCATTTCCCTCTGCTGTAATTTTTCAACAAAGGAGGTGTCATCTGGAATAGAATCAGGGGTTCTGGAGGATCTCGTGGGAATCCGTGACTTGATCTCTTCAATTTCTGATCGATAAGTGCTCTGTCTGTTTGGTCTGTTTTGACTCGGGTCCTTCTGGCTTTGACCTTGATAAATTCCTTGAAAATGATTTTGAATTTCATCTGTCTTTCGACTTTCACCTGTTAAGTTTGTATCACTGGGTTGTTTGCTTGCATGTCTCTGACTGGTCAATCCAGTTTTTGGTTTGACTGATGATTGGTTGGTATTTTTAGATGGTTGATTTCTAGGGGATGTCTTCAGAACGAGCTTTGTCTGTGGTTTCTGAGATAAAAACAAGAATACCAAAGTGTGAACAAAAAATATTTCAAACTCCAAATTGTATAAGGGCAGAATATGAGCAAATAAAAATAAATTTACGTGCAGACCATGAAAAAGTATATAAATGGAAATAATTAAAGACCAAGAGTAAGCATCATTTAATTTGCTTCAGCAAGGACACCGGCCATATAAATCTAATTCAATTCTAAGTAAAATCAGACTCTAAAAGTGAGAATCAGGATAGTAATGATAAAACAACACGAAACAAGCTTTAACAAAAACATTGACCTGTAATTGACAAAATTAAAACAGTTCATAAAGGCAGCAGTTGTCATAGTCATCAGGGATCTGATGAAATTCACACTTTACAAAATTGATGTATTTTTTATGCATAATTTTCAGCCTCATGATACAATTTCAATACAACAGTCATGATAGCATACATATTTTAATGGAAAATTTGTTTCTTAAATTTTCTCACATGGAGAAAAAAACAAAAAGATAATAACATGAAACTAGAAAGAAACTTTAAAATTTCAATCAAATCAAGAAGTTTTGAAATTTGAAATGAAATTGCAATTAAGTTAAGGCTGTAACAGTGTTTTCAGCTTCCCTATTTAAAGGATTAATAATTTTTAGTGGTATGCTGAGGATGATATGGTATGGTATGCTAAACACTCCAGACCAACTATTGTGTAACCCTGACAGTAGGGATCTTTTACCTTCGATTTACCCCGCAGAGACTTAAACACTCCAGATCAACTATTGTGTAACCCTGACAGTAGGGATCTTTTACCTTTGATTTACCCCACGGAGACTTAAACACTCTAGACCAACTATTGCGTGACCCTGACAGTAGGGATCTTTTACCTTAGATTTACCCCGCGGAGACTTGAACACTCTAGACCAACTATTGTGTGACCCTGACAGTAGGGATCTTTTACCTTAGATTTACCCCGCGGAGACTTGAACACTCTAGACCAACTATTGTGTGACCCTGACAGTAGGGATATTTGACCTTAGATTTACCCCGCAGAGACTTGAACACTCTAGACCAACTATTGTGTGACCCTGACAGTAGGGATCTTTTACCTTAGATTTACCACGCGGAGACTTAAACACTCTAGACCAACTATTGTTTGACCCTTACAGTAGGGATCTTTTACCTTAGATTTACCCCGCGGAGACTTAAAGACTCTAGACCAACTATTGTGTGACCCTGACAGTATGGATCTTTTACCTTAGATTTACCCCGTGGAGACTTAAACACTCTAGACCAACTATGGTGTGACCCTGACAGTAGGGATCTTTTCCCTTAGATTTACCCCTCGCAGACTTAAACACTCCAGACCAACTAGTGTGTGACCCTGACAGTAGGGATCTTTTACCTTAGATTGACCCCGCGGAGACTTAAACACTCTAGACCAACTATGGTGTGACCCTGACAGTAGGGATCTTTTACCTTAGATTTACCCCGTGGAGACTTAAACACTCCAGACCAACTATTATGTGACCCTGACAGTAGGGATCTTTTACCTTAGATTTACCCCGCGGAGACTTGAACACTCCAGACCAACTATTGTGTAACCCTGACAGTAGGGATCTTTTACCTTAGATTTACCCCGCGGAGACTTGACAGCAGGTTTTGTATTAGACTGGCTTGAAGCTTTACTGTTGGGTTTAGTTGATGGTGCTGATTTGTTGTCTCGACTGACAGAAGTAACCTCCCTTTTACTCCCTGTCTGTCTTCCTGACCCCTTGATCTGAGCAAACCGTGCTATACCCTCTCCTCTCTTCAGGAAGGGCCGCCTAGGACTCTGGGTAGAATCCTCCTCCTGTTTAGCCTGCAGCTGTCAAAAATCAGACATTTCAAACTTTGAAATATGAAACCATTTCATAGCTTAAGAGCATGCACACTATTTGGTTTGGCAGTTTTCAGGAGTGTAAATGTTATTGAGCTTTACGAGTTATCTAGAATAAAAAAAAAACATTTCTACAATTAATAAACTTAACCTGTCCAACTGTTGTTTGCACCACTCATTAATACAGCAGACCTTTCACACATGCTGTACATTGTACTAGAAGTAGTTTGTATTCGGAAATCAGTTTTTGCACTTCATCCATAACTTCAAGATGTCAAATATCAAATCAAAGGGGATAGGTTTAACATGTTTGTGAAATTAAAATAACTGCAAGAAATGTACAGAAAATGCAAAAATCTTGTAAATTGTAAATAAAACCAAGTTTTTATCATAAACCATCACCAAAACAACATGTCAAGTTGCAAATGAAAGCCATCAACTAACATTACTTTGAAACTAGAGTATATTTTATTTCATGATATTGAGGCCAAGATTCAAAACATTTTCTGAAATGGTCTTATTTCAGATAAAACAATAAAACAATCTTTACCTTCTCCTCTTCATCTCGAAGTTGTTCTTCTAACATTTGTTCAAAAGTTTTCTTCCCTACAAGAGCAAAATAAAAATGAATGTAAAACTTTTTTTTTCCAACTCCTACCTTAAGGATGTATGCTTCTCCAATATTACTGTGATAACTCCTTCCAAAAGAGTTACAAAACAAATAAAATATGTCACAAATAATAATGTTGACTGGCAATTGTCTAAACATGTAAAGGTACAGAGGTGATCTACCAAACCATTGTAAATTACTTCTATTTGGGAGAGTCAACTGTAAACTTAAAAGTATTGTGGGTATTTATTGAAAATATGAATTAAAGGAAGAAAACCATATCATTTGATGTTGTTACCTCGTCATATTTAAATCCTCTTGGATAAGGTCTTTGAAATGCAACTATGAACATTACCCTATATGGGAAATACACCTGTTTTACAGTACTTACCTGCCAATCCAGGCTTGATAGGTCTTTCATCAGGATGAACTTCTTCATCCTGTAAAATAAATATTCAATACAATTCAATGCTTATATTTATATATGATATCATAATGACGAAATGAAGTTGTTAGTATCTTTTATACGTAATTACAAATTTAAAACAATATTGTATCACAAGATTCTCAACATGACAAACCATGTGTGGGTTTGGTTTGATTTGTTTGTGTTTTACATCTTATTAACAGCTGTGGTCGTTCAAGAATGTGTCAAGGTTTGGTGGTGGAGGAAAACCAGAGTGCCCAGAGAAAAAAAGCATCATCCTGCAGCCAATACCTGGCAACTGCCCCACATAGGCCTTGAACCCGTGACCAAGTGGTGGAGGGCCAGTGATGGTAGACATTCAGACACAGTAACAATTCGACCACCACGACCCAAATGTGTGTGTACCGTGATCATGACCATAAGATGCCTATTTGATAAAGTTATTAATAAAATCCAAACATAGACTTATTAATGTACAAGATGTTAAACAAATATTGTTGTCACTACTGGATAGGTGGCAGGGGTTGATGTGGTAGTGTAGGGTATCAGTGGTTGATTTCATTGTAATTTGGTGCAGTATTAAAGTGGTATATATATAGCAGTTTTGTGTACCACTTTGTCAAGTTATCATTCCTATTAGGATTTTTACAGGTATCATAATAAGCAACTCTTTGAAGTTGGAGGTGAATATCAGCATAGGTTATGGAAACATTTTGTGTTCAAATTAGAAAATAATTACTTTGTATCTTCTTTCTAATGTTGTATCATCCTCATTTTCATCAAATTCATCCTCGTCATCATCTAACGGATGTTGTTCTAATTCATCGTTGATGTCATCATCTTGTTCCCTTCCTGCTTCATGCCCATTAATATGGTCATAATCAGTTTCTACCTCGCAGCTCAGCGCCTGATCAAGCGGACTGGATAACCGCAATGTCCCGATACCTTCATCCATCTCTAATTCGTTTGTATAAATTGCAGAGGACTTTTTACTCTTATCTAACATTCCCTGAAAATAAAACAAAATGGTATTTTTCTATTGTTGAACTAAAACTGTAAATAAAACATGTACGAACAGAGTAGAGCTGATAACAATAACGTACGGATGCATAAAATGTCAAACAAGTGAATAAGACATCACATTCAGGTACACTTTCATTTAATAGAACATAATAGATCTACAGCAATAGAATTTGTAACTAGAGATATGTTTTTGTTAATCACGTTGACCTAAAGGTGATGATTACAGTGACAGAGCTCTGCAAATCTGCTGTGGGTGATGCAGTTATAGTTCAATCAAGATATTCTCAATGGTTTAAAATCTACAGCCCAGGCAATATTTCACTGAAAATTTTGCACTTATTTGACCTTTGACCTAGCAGTTTAGGTCACAGTAACCTAATTACAGTGTTTTCATACCTTCTATGAGCGATGTAGGTACATTTCAAGTTTCAACAAGATATCTTCAATGATTTATAAGTTACCACCTGGACAAGATTTCACAGAAGTAGTGAAGGATCAGAAAAAAATAAACTAAAAGTGGAAGAAGTATCCGAGAAGAAAAACAAAACAAAATGAAACTTAAGTCTAATACAATATGTATGCCTTGCTACATTTAAAATGGACATTACTGAAGAGATAAGCCTAAAAACTGAATCCTTTGAATGGAATTTTCAAAATATCTTGCATCCTTGCAAGAAAAATAAAGAAATTTTCTCGCCATAAAAAAAGAAAATAAACAGGATCTTCTGACAGACCAAATTATTGGACCATATATGGTTAGATTTGTAATTTACCTGAGTTCTCCCTAGTTTAGTCGGAGCCATGTGACCTTGGGACGGCATTGACTGGTACATCTGAGAGGGTGGTAATGTCCTTTCATGGTTTCCATGGCGATGAGACATCTGATTTACCATCACATTGTTATTTTCCCCAACCTCAGACACGGATTCTAAGTTAGGGAACTCGTCTGTCATTGCCTGACTTCCTGTTGCCGAGTTTGTGTCACTGAACAAGTCAGGATTAGTTTTTACTTCATCATTTTCCTCATCAAGGTTGACGTACATCACTGGACGAGGCAACTGACCACCGGCTTGCTGTTGGAAAAACACCAAATAGAATCAAGGTTTGTGGAACAGGACTATGAAGTTCATTCTCCTACAGGTTTTTATAGAATATTGACGAAGCTAATGGCGCCCGGCCTTACTGTTGAACTTTTCTTTTAAAGGAAACGAGAAAATAATCCATCTTCTATATTAAGCATTTCATTATTTAAGGAAAAATGAGAAAAAGAATGCATTTATATTTTTTTTAAAGGATATCACTTTGTTAATTCCAGGCACAAAATTACTGACAAAATATTGTGGAATGAAATTAACCCCCTCTCCATTTAATCCATAGATGATTAGAAATTTTAAAACTTAATACTCAAACCAGGGAAAACAAGTTGTGTAGTCGGCATTTCCCAGTTTATCTTATGAGTTTGTAGTCAATAAAGATAATCCTATAGTACACCACTCCTGCAGGTGGAGGATCGGGAAAAGAATGGTAGGAGGCGACTTAAGTGGGAACCCCCTGCAGAATTGGGGAATTGCTTTGGTGTCCTCTATTTGGGGACTCAAAAGCGACCATAATAAATCTGCTGCGCCCATTTGCAATATTTTGGATCTTTATCTTTCTTTCTACTTCTTACTACCTTTTATTTCCTAACGCTTTGCTTGGCAACACCTTACTTTTGGCTTGAATGTTGAGCGTTCGCCCAGGTGAGGAAGGCAATGGGTTCAGTCCCCAGGCCGGGACATACCAAAGTCCTTTAAAAAATGGTAGTTGTTATTCCAAGCTTAACGTTCAGCATTTAGGGGAATGACAACTGGTTCACCCATTGTCAGTATAATGTGACCGGGCGGAATGCTGTGCTGGGTGCCTTTGGCATGGTATTTCAGTGAGATAGCACTATAAAGTCGCCATCAGATCCGCGCAATCACAAGGAGGCAAGCACACCAAAATACCCTGTCAAGCAAGCACGCATACACTACACACATGGAGGCACATCCTTAAATGACCTTAGCTGTTAATAGGACGTAAAACAAAATTAAACAAAACAAAACCAAACCTATAGTACACCATAACATTTACAACCCTTTGTATGGGATTCCAAGTCACTTTCAACATTTTTGTGGACAGATTTATCTAATAAGTACTTCCAGGAAGAGAAATAGTCTGTATGTGAAAAGACACTAACCCTTAAGTTATACTATTATGAAGACTTACTATATATTTTTTAACCTGTCATTCAAAAACTGATGTCACAAAATCATTCATTAATAGACTCTTTCACTCCCTACTCCCTTTGTCGCTGAGAAGCAATCACCTTTGATTGCAACCTTTAACCCCTCCCAAATCTCCCAAGGCAAATTTCAAATATTTTGAAAGTACATTGTACCTTGGATAATTTTTTGTTTTCACTTAATCAGTGATTCTTTTAACCCTTTCACCCCTATGTAACTTTAATAGCTCTACTGTGCATTGATCTGGATCAGTCTATTATGGTCTACAATGGTGAAAGGGTTAAATTAGTATCACTTACTTCCATCATGGTAGGTGGCAGAGACTGGAAGTTAGGGGGTCTCTGCATGCTGCCATTTTGCATCATGGGTGGGAACCCTGGTCCCTGTCCCCTCTGTCTGATGGGCGGGGTCTTAGTGGGAGACATGGGGTTATTCATTGGCCTATCTTGTTTCCCTCCTGAAAATGAGAGATGGAAAGTAAACAAAACAAGCTCACGTTTAACATAGCAGGATCTTTCCAGTTGACATTTTTTCAAATATAGCGTTAATGTGACTGTTCAAAACAACTTCATTATATTTGTGAGATGGTTAACTATTTTATTAATATATTAAACCAATTTCTACAATTCTCAAACAATAGAGAAAATTAGATTGAATATGAAAATACCAATGTTTTTGTATTTGTTTTATTTACATATGCTTTAAATACTGAACAGATTTTAGAATTTTGGGATTCATTGACATCATCAACAAGACATGCTAGCACACTTCACAGAAATTGTCGCATTCCAGTGAGCAATAACATTGACAATGATGCCAACTAAAAGCTGTTTAATATTTGTATTTACCAATTTTTTAAACTGTATTTTGATCTTTTATTTATGTATACTTATTCAATCTAGCCAAAAACATTATTTTCCTGATTTTTTCTTGACACTTTGCACTTTTTACTAGTCGTGACTTGTTTTTACAAATATGAATGTTATTTTTTTTGGCATTTTTCTGACTCAGCAAGTGCAATAGCATGATATCAGAATAGCTAAATTCACTTGATTATTTTGTTCTAAATTTCAAAAAATGAAACCAATTTTGTGAGAATTACTGCAGAAAAAGACTGGATTACATATAATTTCCAGATGGTCATGTTGCATTGTATTATACATAATCTACAAACACACACTGTATTACATACCCCTCTGAGAGTCACACTGTATTATATACCCCTCTGAGAGTCATGCTGTATTACATACCCCTCTGAGAGTCACACTGTATTACATACCCCTCTGAGAGTCACGCTGTATTACATACCCCTCTGAGAGTCACGCTGTATTACATACCCCTCTGAGAGTCACACTGTATTACATACCCCTCTGAGAGTCACGCTGTATTACATACCCCTCTGAGAGTCACGCTGTATTACATACCCCTCTGAGAGTCATGCTGTATTACATACCCCTCTGAGAGTCACGCTGTATTACATACCCCTCTGAGAGTCATGCTGTATTACATACCCCTCTGAGAGTCACGCTGTATTACATACCCCTCTGAGAGTCATGCTGTATTACATACCCCTCTGAGAGTCACGCTGTATTACATACCCCTCTGAGAGTCACGCTGTATTACATACCCCTCTGAGAGTCACACTGTATTACATACCCCTCTGAGAGTCACGCTGTATTACATACCCCTCTGAGAGTCACGCTGTATTACATACCCCTCTGAGAGTCACACTGTATTACATACCCCTCTGAGAGTCACACTGTATTACATACCCCTCTGAGAGTCACGCTGTATTACATACCCCTCTGAGAGTCATGCTGTATTACATACCCCTCTGAGAGTCACACTGTATTACATACCCCTCTGAGAGTCATGCTGTATTACATACCCCTCTGAGAGTCACACTGTATTACATACCCCTCTGAGAGTCACACTGTATTATATACCCCTCTGAGAGTCATGCTGTATTACATACCCCTCTGAGAGTCATGCTGTATTACGTACCCCTCTGAAGGTCACACTGTATTACATACCCCTCTGACAGTCATGCTGTATTATATACCCCTCTGAGAGTCATGCTGTATTACATACCCCTCTGACAGTCATGCTGTATTACGTACCCCTCTGAAGGTCACACTGTATTACATACCCCTCTGACAGTCATGCTGTATTATATACCCCTCTGAGAGTCATGCTGTATTACATACCCCTCTGACAGTCATGCTGTATTACGTACCCCTCTGAAGGTCACACTGTATTACATACCCCTCTGACAGTCATGCTGTATTATATACCCCTCTGAGAGTCATGCTGTATTACATACCCCTCTGACAGTCATGCTGTATTACATATCCCTCTGACAGTCACGCTGTATTACATACCCCTCTGACAGTCATGCTGTATTATATACCCCTCTGAGAGTCATGCTGTATTACATACCCCTCTGACAGTCATGCTGTATTACGTACCCCTCTGAAGGTCACACTGTATTACATACCCCTCTGACAGTCATGCTGTATTATATACCCCTCTGAGAGTCATGCTGTATTACATACCCCTCTGACAGTCATGCTGTATTACGTACCCCTCTGAAGGTCACACTGTATTACATACCCCTCTGACAGTCATGCTGTATTATATACCCCTCTGAGAGTCATGCTGTATTACATACCCCTCTGACAGTCATGCTGTATTACGTACCCCTCTGAAGGTCACACTGTATTACATACCCCTCTGACAGTCATGCTGTATTATATACCCCTCTGAGAGTCATGCTGTATTACATACCCCTCTGACAGTCATGCTGTATTACGTACCCCTCTGAAGGTCACACTGTATTACATACCCCTCTGACAGTCATGCTGTATTATATACCCCTCTGAGAGTCATGCTGTATTACATACCCCTCTGACAGTCATGCTGTATTACGTACCCCTCTGAAGGTCACACTGTATTACATACCCCTCTGACAGTCATGCTGTATTATATACCCCTCTGAGAGTCATGCTGTATTACATACCCCTCTGACAGTCATGCTGTATTACATATCCCTCTGACAGTCACGCTGTATTACATACCCCTCTGACAGTCATGCTGTATTATATACCCCTCTGAGAGTCATGCTGTATTACATACCCCTCTGACAGTCATGCTGTATTACATACCCCTCTGGGAGTCACACTGTATAACATACCCCTCTGTTTGGCAATTAGTGCCTGTGTACGCTGTTGCTCTGACTTCAGTGCCTGCAACTGCATTTGCTGTTGATTCATCAGCATATCTTGCTGCTGCAGCTGCCAGGAGCGTAGTTCTTTGAAGCGCTGCAATAGTCGGGACTGTTCCATGGTCTGCTGCTGCTCTAGAATATCCATAGTGGCATCTGAAGAAAAAAGGCAAATGTTCTGAAATGCCCTCTCAAAGGTATATATACACGTACATAATAATATCTAAACAAGAAAGTTGTCTAAATCTTCAGTCATAGAAACATGTTTATTGTTACTAATTGTTTTTATTAATAGTACATACCGGTTTTAGATATACAAATCTTTGGGCTTTTCTAGCTTTCTTGTATAAATTGTTTCAAATAAAAATAGATGAGACCCACTTCAGAAATCTTGCAGATAATTATTTTTCACTTCAAAAATGTTTTGATACCATTATGTCAAAATTTAAATAACAGTACTTAATACACTTATATTAGAAAGTTTTAATTTAATGACTCTTCCACCAACATCAACTGTTTATGACTGGCCTAATCTATTGTCCCATTGCATTGGCTAGATTTTTTGGTGACAACTCAATGTACATGTATATTTCATACATTTTCATTAGAAACATTTCAGCCTCATTTTCTCATATTACTTTTGTCACTGAATTCTTAAAGGAAGAAACTCTGACAATCTTAAACCAAATGAAAAACTTCCATCATTTTAAAACTACAAAATAACCAGGTCCAAACCTAATTTTCTTTGCGCATACAAATAGTACATTGTTTCAAACATACTGGCAAATACATTTCATATTTACAGTACTAGTTGCACGTCACAGGCAGAAGATTTTTTACAGCTTGTATTAGATGATTTTGCTTTTTTCTGGAAATGACTCAGCGTTAGTTGTTAAATGAGGCACAGTAGTCCAGTGGTAGGACGCCGGGCTCGTGACCGAAGGGTTGTGGGGTCGCGCCACGGCACGGCAATGTGTTGTATCCTTGAGCAAGATACTTTACTCCGCTTGTTCCAGTCTACTCAGCTGTAAATGAGTACATGGTTGGGCAGTGCTAGAATTGTTGAATGCTAGCTGTTAGCGCCGAAATGGCAGCTCCGGTTGTATGCTCCCCAGGGAGTTGAGAAATGTACTGGCTAGTTGCAAAGGCCCTATAACCACGGATAATAATTTGTGAACCGCTTTGCGACGACCTATGAACTAGGTTGTGATAAAGCGGTATATAAGAACCTCCAATTGTTATTATTATTATTATTATGACGTGGAATTCTGATGAAGTATTCAATAAACTAGGAAATAGTTGTAAAATTCACACTTTGATAGAAATTGAGCTAAATGCAAAGTGTAACCAAAGTCAGTGAAGAGGAAAACTTAGGAAACAGTGTCCTAAATATCATATGATGGGGTCGTGCTCCTGGTGATATATCGGCATAGTTTAATGACTTTGACTTGTTGTATTAGAGATAGATACTATTCTAACTCAGATGTCACATTGATAGACAGACAGAAAATGTCCACTTCACTAAATTAAATAAAAAACCACTGCTAATGTTATGGGGACATAAACAAATCTATAAATATTATCTACATGTATTAATATAACATCTTCAGACATAATACACTACTATATACTTACCTTTAGCAGGTTTTTTCTCCATTTGTGAATTCATCATTCCCATCATCATGGCATTTTGTGCAAACATTGGATTCAGCATGGCTGCATCAAAATTGAAAGCTTGATTGAACATCTCCATTGGCAAGTTAGCGGCCATGACAGGCACACTGGTCATTCCATTGGACGCTTTAACATCTCCGTTTGCATGCATGTCCATAATCCCTGCATGACCCATCCCTGTATCCTGCTTACTGGCCTGTCCCAATGGCCCCATTCTTGACCCCATTGACTCGCTGAGGTCCAGGTTGGGCCTGCCTCCTCCAGAGTTTCCAGCAGGCCACGCAGGATTGGGAGGAGGGTAATAATCATCCATTCTTGAGAATGGAGTTACATTTAGGATGTGTTTTGAAAAGCAACCACCTCAAGCTCTTCAGTGTTAACAAATTTACTGAAATCCTGAAAAATATGAAAAAATCCTGAAGACTACCACATAGATGGAAATAATGAATGGTTATGTCCTAACTACATAACTTTTTTCCCCTCATCACAGTGGGAAGGAAATTGTCCAAATCTGGTTTACAAGTAAAAATAAACGAATTTCCCTTTAGCTCAGTAGTAGAGCGTCCAACAGGGGAATTCTGGGATCACGGGTTCGATCCCCGGTGGAATCACACTACTCTCTTTAAATTTACGGTGCTATTTTTCATGTAATACATGTATAAGGATTTCCTAAAATAGTGTACTTTTTAAGAAATTGATATCCAATTTTTCAAATAAAGGACATGTTATGATGTATTAATGTATCTTAATATTATGTTTAGAATGAGGCCAAATTTAAGCTCAAATTATATCGGCAATGAAAACCTTTTAAAAGAGATATATATCTTTCTGTTTTTCCTTTTAAATTTGTCTTTGATTTCAGGACTTGGACAATACTGTTACTATTCTATTTGTACACTCATCACTAATTTGTAATAAATGAATATTTATCAGATTTTCACAAGCAGTCTTTGTTAGAAATCAACACATTTTTTTATGAGACTGGGTAGATGGAAAATAGTCCAAAATTGTACCAAATGACATGCAGTATAGTTAATTAAGATTTAATTTGGCCCCCCCCCCCCCCCTTATTAAAGCTGCTAAGTTTAAAAAGAATTGTCTAAGTTTATTGATGTTTTCTTATACATCTTTATAATAATAATTATTCAGGTAAAATAGGCATATAACAATACATGAATATCACAGAGTAGAGTAACAGCACAAGATTTTGCGACAGTACTCGTACCATAACATCAGGTTGGGCACAACGGCACACATGGGTAATAATCCTGCATTTGGGTAACATCGTGTATGTTATGGTTGAATGCATTTCGAATCTACTTTCACTATCCTATATAAAAAAATAAAATTTTTGCGTATCCCGGTTGAAACGGTGTGTTTGGCGCAGAAATTTTCCACAATAAACGCGTCCACTAGATTACATAACGTATCTTAAAAATTGCATGTGACTTGACATTGTTTTAAAAGAAATAACGCAAATTGGCAAAAGTCAGCATTTTAGTTTCGGTCAGGTACGTCTGGACCCCTCAATCTACCCGTACCAAATTTTCCTGAGGTCAGCCTCGGTCCAAATCTGTACCTGTCGTTTTCTTTGCGGGTTCAACCGTTTCAACCGGATACGCGAATGTAGCCCTGTAACATAACATTTTCATTGAGCATTAAGCGTGCCTGTTTTTGCTTACATTTTGTATTGACAACACTGTCAACACTCGGGCACCAGATTTGTTGGCTATTTTTTTTCATTTCAAGGAAACTTATCGTTCTAGTTATATTGATTTATTTGAAAATGGGTATTATGGTGTGTCTACACATTCGATTTAACACGATAAATGACAAAATAAGCCTTGGTCAAAAACCAAAACATTCGACATGTGCGCCAACCCAAGACAAGCTGTTGCATGCAAGTTGTGAATATATGTCAGTTTTAGAAAATTAGAAGTTGCACCTTCGGTAAAATTTAATCCAGTCCTTTCCTTGTTTCACATTTCTTTGTTTTGTTCGACGCGATCTCAATTATTGGTAGAAGCAAGAAAGATATGAAGGTCGTATCCTGCGTTACCCCACTTCTTGTTTACAAATGTCCGCCATTTTCTGAAAAAGTTTCAAATCTCGCGAGGTTAGACGAGATGTTTTACTTCTCTTTCAAGAAAATTTATGATCCCGATGGTAAGCACGTTCCAGAGACAGATGTCAAGCAGACAGTGCCGAAACAGTGCAGACGGACGGTCATTTGATATCCTGGACAGGTCAACAGAATGTCATGTAAGCGACAGTTTGAAGAGAACGATAAAACGAAATATTTACTATGGGATATACTTTTTTCATTTTCAGATATTTTTACATTGACTTCATGACAATTGGTCCCGAATTCTTGATGTTTCGGTTGCTACCTTCAGATCTGAAAATAGGAAGTTTCTGTACTTTTTTGTAAGTCCAGCATGCTCTACCGATTGAGCGTATTTGCTGTAAAGACCTACAGTGATGTGCAACAGGTCCTTCACGTTATGTCATTTTTCCATTGGATTCTGTGTGAATTTACTTTTGGAAAATTAATTTCCTGGCTTTGTTTTTACTAAAAATATTGATGAAAGTCATCACAAGCTAGAAAATTATCAATAAATATCAGACATCGGGTTTGAACCCAGGACCCTCTGAACTTTAGACGGTTGCTCTACCATTTGAGCTACCCGGTCGCCTACAATCTACCCAGTCCAGTTCTGCTGCATTGTTATTATAATTTTCCAAATATGGTGAAGCAGAACTGGACTCAGGGTCGATTGTCATATTGTTATAGCAGAGGAATAATGCACTGCCAGGCCGGGTTCAAACACAGGACCCTCTGAACTCTAGATGTACGCTCTACCATTTGAGATAACTGGTCGCCGACAATCGAACCAGTCCAGTTCTGCTCCATTGTTATTATAATTTTCCAAATATGGTGAAGCAGAACTGGACTTGGTCGATTGTCATATTGTAATAGCAGAGGAATAATGCACTGCCAGGCCGGGTTCGAACCTAGGACCCTCCGAACTCTAGATATACACTCTACCATTTGAGCTAACTGGTCGCCGACAATCGATTGACAGAAGCTAAATTGTACCCAATCCAGTACAATGTAGCTTCTGTCAAGAGTTCTGATGGACCTGCGTTCGAATCTCAGTCTGGCCGTGTTTTTTTCCGCTCCTGTAACATTTAAATTGGTGCCCGTAACCAACTCAAGATTCAAGTTCAAGTTGAATACTTTACTTTAAGAAAAAGGAGGGAGGAATGTAGCCCGAGTTAGACATTTTGACTGATAGATGTCTGGTATTGGGCCAGAGTGGACTTCTATATGAAAATATGTATTTCTCAGACACCTTTTGGTGTCGAAAAGTTTGAGGTGCTGACATCAAAAGTCTTCCATGACTGCATGGTATTTAGAGGAAACTTTGGCTAGTTGGAGGAATGTAGCGGAACTGGACCGGGGAAAATGTCAGCAACCAGCTACCTCAATTGCTCCTAGAGGTCCCGAATCCCAGTCTGTACGTGTTTTTTTTAGCTCGGGCCATGTGAGCTTATGCTGCGTCGTCCTTCTGACGTCTGGCCGTCAACTTTTTCTTTTAAACGACTTCTTCTGAAGAACTGGAGGACCTAGGGTCATGATATTTGGCCAGTAGCTATAGGTACCTGGGATGGAGTGTCATAAAGTTTCTTCATTAAAATGACCTTGACCTACTTTCAAGGTCACAGGGGTCAAATATGTTCAAAAATTGAAACAACAATATCCTAAGAACCATTAGGACTAGAGTCATGATACTTTGGTATGTAATGTAGACCAGCAGTGCAAATCTTTTTCTTATTACAGTAATGAGGTCAAAGGTCAACTTCAAGTGCTAGTCAGGGGTCAAATGTCAACATGGGTTAAAAGCTTTATCAATCTTCTTCTCAAGTTCCATAAGGCCCAGGGTCATGATATTTGGCCAGTAGGTACTTGGGATAGAGTGCTTTAAAATTTCCCCATTAAAATTACCTTGTCCTAGTGTCAAGGTCACAGGGGTCAAATATGTTAAAAACCTCAAACAACAATATCCTAAGAACCATTTGGACTAGAGTCATGATACTTGAGTATGTTATGTAGACCAGCAGTGCAAATCTTTTCTTTTTCACAATAATAAGGTCATAGGTCAACTTTAAGTGCTAGTTGGGGGTCAAATGTCAACATGAGTTAAAAGCTTTATCAATATTCTTCTCGAGTTCCATAAGGCCCAGGGTCATAATATTTGGCAAGTAGGTACTTGGGATGGAGTGCTCTAAAGTTTCCTCATTAAAATGACCTTGAACTAGTTTCAAGGTCACAGGGCTCAAATAGGTTAAAAACTTCAAACAATGATATCCTAAGAACCATTTGGTTTAAAGTCACGATACTTGGGTATGTTATGTAGACCAGCAGTGCAAATCTTTTTCTGAATAACAGTAATGAGGTCAAATTTCAACTTTAAGTGCTAGCTGGAGTCAAAGGTCAACGTGGGTTAAAAGCTTTAATTTAAAAACAACAATATCTTAAGCATTTAAGAGATGTTAAAATGTCTTGTGTTCTAGTTACCAAATTTGGTCTAAAGTAACCTATATGTCAGTCTCATGTAACAAAAGAAACAGGTGAGCGATACAGGCCCTCTGGGCCTCTTGTTCTTTTCCTGTTACAACAGAATTCTAACCATGATGGGTTACTTTGCAAAAACATGTTTTTACATCAAAGTTTGTTATTGTGACAACAGTGTCTATATGGTAGTAATGTTAAAGTATAACTTTTAAGTTGGAATGAAAAGTGATCGATATCTCAACAACAGAGTAACTGATAATAATATTAATAATACCAGAGGAAACACTGGAAATTTTCTCTAACATGATGTCAAGCTTGATCAAAATAGGATGTCACAGGAAGTCAGAATAATTTTTGAAAAAATAAAGTAAATTAAAATAGAATCCAATGGGAAAATGATGTGAAAGGTATATTGCATGTCACTATATATAGCTATATCATAAATGTCAAATCTCCCTCATTAGGAGGGAGACTCCCATTTGACTAACATTTACCAATCTCCCTTGAAACTCCCTTATTCAAGTCCAAACTCACACAAACTCAAAATCTACATTTTGTAGTCAAAGGATCTCCTAGTTACTGCAGTGTGTGTGTAATGATGATAACAGGTGTGTCTAAATCAAAGGATCTCCTAGTTACTGCAGTGTGTCTGTAATGATGATAACAGGTGTGTCTGAATCAAAAGATCTCCTAGTTACTGCAGTGTGTCTGTAATGATCATAACAGGTGTGTCTAAATCAAATGAATGCTTTGTATAGTTATTTTGATACAAGAAAAGAATTTTAGTTTGGATAAAAAAGAGATAAAGTGGCATAAAGCTATAGGTTTTATGGTAAACATTTAGTTATATTAGAAGCACTAACAATATAATATCGTAAACATTTTATTTATTGATCGAAACAAGCTCCTGTGGTAAGAGGTGGGGTTTTTTTGGGTTTTTTTAAATCCTGATATTTGATTGTCTTGAAAGTGGGCAAAGGTCATACATTTGAACAAATTTGATTGCTCTTTATTTATAAAATGTTTTAATACATTGTACCCCTGTGACCTGGAAATTGGGTCAAATTCTTTTAATTGAACAAATTCAATAGCCTTTCAGCCCCAAATATTACTGGCCAAATGTCATTGTCCTAGACCTTTTGGTTGTTTAATCTAAAAAAAGGTGATGTCAGACAGACAAAAGATCTAGATGCCGCATCATATTAAATATAAGCCTTTGTCAAGGTCTGCATTTAAATTCGGGACCTCAGAAGTCTTGGATGCATGCATGCCCCCTTGATAACCATGTTGGCTGACTTGTTGACTATAGTCATTCAACTGTTAGACCAGCTGATGTACCGTAGATATTGAATGGTTATAAAACTCTCGGGATATATGGACAAATCAGTCCTTGGAAATTTTCTAAGTAGATTAATATCATTAATGAGAAAAACATTTTGGTATACACATACAAGGCACTGACACTGAATGGAACAGTTCCCCAGTACCTTCAGGAGCTTGTCAGCCTGTATCACTGCAGTAGGAGACAGAATTCTTGTTGCGTGTCCCAAAATCTTGTACTGTGACCTATGGAAACCGGTGCTTAGGGAGGATTTTGGTCATGTTATATATATAAATGTCACTGTAGGATTACTATTTTTCATGTGTTGTTATGCGCCTATTAAGAGTAATTTTGCAAATTATATTGTGCACTATTTAAATGTTGTGTATTATTTATTATTATCATTATGCCCAATTTATTGACAAAGAGTTAGATCATAATAATGTGTATTTTAATATTACTTTTGTTACAGTGACATGGATTCAGAAATCAAGTTTGGTCAGTGACCTTGGTCTGGTGAAACCCTGCAGTTAACACCAGCATCTTAACCTGAAAACCTGTATGATAATGAACAACAATGTCGCAGGTTCTCATTTATGTAAGGGGAAATCACTCTGTGGAAGAATACTGCTTTTTCTCCCGAGAATTATCACCAGTCTTAATGGACTACCAGGAAGTTGGTCTCACACTTCTGTATGATACGAAAACAAAGCATACACATCTCTGTCTGCTTAAACTTGACCCCAGCTCCAAAAATTATAACGATGACAACCAGAAAAAAGAATCCTCAGACAACAACAAAACCTCTGGAAGTACAAAGTCACAAAATGACCAGTGTGTGGTAAAGGGAAATTGTGGAAATAGTGATTATCAGAGTCCCGGTAACTTGATGCGAGTGTCATTCTCTGATATTGTTCCAGTGAAGGAAGCGACATTGCAATTTGATGCTCATCTTGTGTCTTGTGTTTGTTGTGAACTGAAAAGGTCACGGATATTTAGGAGAAGGTTCCTGAAATTTGTGGCAAGGAATTTCGGATTTAAACTCTTTATTGTGCCAACTTCAGTGACTATCTCCCATGTTTACGAATTCTTTGATTCAGTTGTGCTTGTGCCTTATGTAGTGAAATTGGTTTTATTGTATCCAAGACAAAAGATTGATTATGCATGGTAAGTATTCTACAGACATTACATTACTGTAATGAGTTATGTCATTAATCAATTTAGTTGATATCTAGTTGTCCATGCCTCATATTTGATAGATTTGTCATCTTTCCCTTTATCTTTCGCTGTATTCTACATCGTTGTAAGCTTTTTAGCTTTTGGAGATGTCTTGATAGTTTTTCATTAATTATTTATAATGTCCAACCGGTTGCGCATAAAATGATAAAAGTCCATTATTTACACGTTGATGAGTTGTGGCAGTATATACAGTAGCCTTGTTGCTCACACATTATACTTGACAAAAACAGTTTTCTCTCTATATGAAACCCACGTATATTTACACACTTACCGTTTAAAGTTTGCACTTGTTGATTTGGTCTCAAAGTCACATATTACTTACAGCAAATGAAATCTTTGCATTGATTTTGTAAAAATGCCAGCTGAATAAGCAACCATGATATTTGTATATTGTATTTTTTTATACACCTGTCAAATTTGACGGAAGTATTATGGTATGGGGTTGTCCGTCCGGCGTTAACTTTTGTTTGTCCGGCAATCTCCTCCTACATTTTTCAACCTATCTCTTTCAAACTCGGTACACATTATAATCATGATATGAAGTTATGTCTCCCTTCAAAAAAGAATTTTGATTTTTCCAAAAGTTATTGCCCTTTGTTAATTTCAGTATTTGAATTTTTTTACAGAGATCTCCTACTACATTTTTTGACAGATTTCTTTAAAACTTAGTAGGCTATAAATAATCATGATATGTTGTTGTGTTTCCTTGAAAAGAATTTTGATTCAACAATTTTTGCAAAAGTTCTTGCCCTTTTTTCATTTCAATATTTGATTTTTTGTCCGGAGATTTTCTCCTACATTTTTAATAGCATGTCAGCTAACCACTCTTAGAATGATGCAGATCTTATTTCAATGTAAGAAAGTATATAACACTATATGGCATTCGACGGGCGTATATTGTTCTGCCCTGCGGTACTCTTGTTTGTGTGTTTTCCAGGAATTACAGAATGTGGAGTCAAATGGCCAAGAGAGTAATGTTTGATGATGCTATGAACTGGCTGTCAACACTGGGAGGAGGGTACTCATCACTTGGTGACTACTTCCAGCACCATGTAGGTATCAATGGGCACTATACATTACACACAGATGTGTAGTCCACACTAAATATCACGTCTGTACTACTTCCAGCACCATGTAGGTATCAATGGGCACTATACATTACACACAGATGTGTAGTCCACACTATATATCACGTCTGTACTACTTCCAGCACCATGTAGGTATCAATGGGCACTATACATTACACACAGATGTGTAGTCCACACTATATATCACGTCTGTACTACTTCCAGCACCATGTAGGTATCAATGGGCACTATACATTACACACAGATGTGTAGTCCACACTATATATCACGTCTGTACTACTTCCAGCACCATGTAGGTATCAATGGGCACTATACATTACACACAGATGTGTAGTCCACACTATATATCACGTCTGTACTACTTCCAGCACCATGTAGGTATCAATGGGCACTATACATTACACACAGATGTGTAGTCCACACTATATATCACGTCTGTACTACTTCCAGCACCATGTAGGTATCAATGGGCACTATACATTACACACAGATGTGTAGTCCACACTATATATCACGTCTGTACTACTTCCAGCACCATGTAGGTATCAATGGGCACTATACATTACACACAGATGTGTAGTCCACACTATATATCACGTCTGTACTACTTCCAGCACCATGTAGGTATCAATGGGCACTATACATTACACACAGATGTGTAGTCCACACTATATATCACGTCTGTACTACTTCCAGCACCATGTAGGTATCAATGGGCACTATACATTACACACAGATGTGTAGTCCACACTATATATCACGTCTGTACTACTTCCAGCACCATGTAGGTATCAATGGGCACTATACATTACACACAGATGTGTAGTCCACACTATATATCACGTCTGTACTACTTCCAGCACCATGTAGGTATCAATGGGCACTATACATTACACACAGATGTGTAGTCCACACTATATATCACGTCTGTACTACTTCCAGCACCATGTAGGTATCAATGGGCACTATACATTACACACAGATGTGTAGTCCACACTATATATCACGTCTGTACTACTTCCAGCACCATGTAGGTATCAATGGGCACTATACATTACACACAGATGTGTAGTCCACACTATATATCACGTCTGTACTACTTCCAGCACCATGTAGGTATCAATGGGCACTATACATTACACACAGATGTGTAGTCCACACTATATATCACGTCTGTACTACTTCCAGCACCATGTAGGTATCAATGGGCACTATACATTACACACAGATGTGTAGTCCACACTATATATCACGTCTGTACTACTTCCAGCACCATGTAGGTATCAATGGGCACTATACATTACACACAGATGTGTAGTCCACACTATATATCACGTCTGTACTACTTCCAGCACCATGTAGGTATCAATGGGCACTATACATTACACACAGATGTGTAGTCCACACTATATATCACGTCTGTACTACTTCCAGCACCATGTAGGTATCAATGGGCACTATACATTACACACAGATGTGTAGTCCACACTATATATCACGTCTGTACTACTTCCAGCACCATGTAGGTATCAATGGGCACTATACATTACACACAGATGTGTAGTCCACACTATATATCACGTCTGTACTACTTCCAGCACCATGTAGGTATCAATGGGCACTATACATTACACACAGATGTGTAGTCCACACTATATATCACGTCTGTACTACTTCCAGCACCATGTAGGTATCAATGGGCACTATACATTACACACAGATGTGTAGTCCACACTATATATCACGTCTGTACTACTTCCAGCACCATGTAGGTATCAATGGGCACTATACATTACACACAGATGTGTAGTCCACACTATATATCACGTCTGTACTACTTCCAGCACCATGTAGGTATCAATGGGCACTATACATTACACACAGATGTGTAGTCCACACTATATATCACGGCTGTACTACTTCCAGCACCATGTAGGTATCAATGGGCACTATACATTACACACAGATGTGTAGTCCACACTATATATCACGTCTGTACTACTTCCAGCACCATGTAGGTATCAATGGGCACTATACATTACACACAGATGTGTAGTCCACATTATATATCACGGCTGTACTACTTCCAGCACCATGTAGGTATCAATGGGCACTATACATTACACACAGATGTGTAGTCCACACTATATATCAGGGCTGAACTACTTCTAGCCTTAATTTTCCGTTTAGCAAATGTTGGCAAAAGATTAACGGCAAGTTTTTCTTCACCAAATGAGGTTTTGCTAGCATTTTCTTGTACACAAATTTGATAATAGAAATTTGTTTTCATGACAGTTGTCTGGTTTTTAAAAAGTGCATTTTACAGGATCAGGTAACCGTTTGTGTTGTGTAATATAATTGACCTGTATTGCTGTAATTGTTATAACCACTGGCTGTTATGTAACAGGCTATACACAGCAATATTTTATCAAACTGATAGGTCTGTGGCATTATATCACAATGACACGACCATGATCATGAACTAAACCGTGTATGACCAAGAACCTTATTATACTTTGTACAATAAGGGTTCTTGGTCCTATTATTGTAAGATATGCATGTTTCAGGCCGAGGAAGCAGGGAGGATATCACTGCAGCAGCTGAAATTGTCTGAAGAAATGGGAGATCCTCTCAACAGTGCAAGGTGTAAGCTGTTCTATGCACAGAGCTTGATGCAGAGAGGCTATATCCGGAAATGCAAACAAATTGTCAGGTGAAGATATATATTCTGTGATAGATCTTTTAAGGGCAGATTACATATGCTTGTAGTAGCAATTAGGTCAGGTCATATAGAATGATGACTTAATATTTGAACAGTTATGTTTAGACTTTTATTTCATTAAAGGTGGATTTCTGTTAGTTTTAAACCAATGTTTAGCTATAGGGAAGATGGAAATCTTTCTGTTTCCATTTTCTTGGGAGTGTTAAACTTCATGTAAATACCGCTAGTGAAATCAAATTTGAACAGTACTGGAATACGATGAAACAGATATCTATTAACTTGAGCCAGTGGTAATGCTAACACTTTGGTTGAATGACTTTCACCTCTTAATTTTACTAGCTATATATTGTGTATTAAAATATTCAAATGGTACCTGGTAATTAAAACTCAGTGGATTTATAAAATGATATTGATGCAGAGAAATTGATATACAATGTATATAAATATATATATATGATATCAAACAATAAATAAAACACATTATATAACTGAATTATAGAGATAGAAAAAGTGCTTAATACAGAAAACTGAAAAAGAAACAGGATGTGTGATAGATTACACAAATTGTGTATAAAGTTTAAAAACAAATATACTGGATGAGTGGAGAAAATATGTACTGGATGTGTTGAGAAAAAATATACTGAATGTGTGGAGATATGAGTGTACTAGTACAAGTATGTTTATATTAAAGATTATTTCATAGTTATTAACTTACATATTAACTGTACATAGTTTATTAATGAGTTTTTTTGTATAATTTCTTCCAACAGGGCACAAGGATACTTCTGCAGGTCTTTATTGGTCTCGGATGACAAGCTTATGGCTTTGTACAAGTCACTCAAATGGAGGTTGAAGCACCTGAAGAACAATGTAGTTACAATCTCTTGACCTCTTGAATGGATTAGCTTTGTTCTAAGACCAGTTGCATTAAATTGTGTGCCTTATAAAAACTTAAAAACTATTGTTTCACTAATTATGTACATGATTATTGTTATTGTTTGTGCTAATGTTTATGTAGCACATACTTAATTTGGAGTATAAAATTATTTTTTTAGTATTTTTTAAGGATCAACAGAAGAATTTAATGAACAGTTTATAGCTAAGGCGTTAGTCGCAAGCTATTGTTGAGGAATATTATATTTGCAAGCAAAGACCACCCCATAAAACCACTCAAAACACAAAAATGAAGTTTAAGAACAAACTGCCAGATGTGTAAAAGCTGAAATGAATATTTCAGATTGAAAATATGCTTTTCAATGGTGGTTTGATAGAAAAATTGACATTCACAGTAATAAAGGACCAATCATCAATTATTGGTGATAATCGTTTATATCTAACTTTAGTAAGTTAATTTCAGAAAAGAAACTTTAGTGAGTTTTCTTTTCAAAATTTGAAACTTAACTTACAAGAGTTAAATCATGAATAACTATTTTATGATACACAAGATATTTTTATGCTGTTACATTTTAATCAATTATGAGTTTTCATATTACAAACCACTTCTTAAATTCAAACATCTGTTATGAAACTGCATAAAGGTAGAATGTTGATACTGGGTGAGTACCAAGTCAAAGGAAAATCTTCAAAACCATCATGTTTCATAAATCAGTAGTACATGTACTTTGCATAGTAGATAGATATTCCATGGGTAGTTTTGAAACGTTCAAACCTATTGTTCTGGTGTGTCTTCCACAACACAGAGGGACTATAATCATGATGTTTTGAAAATGTTCCCTAGTTTTACATGCAAACCATTTTGACTATCAAGATATTTGACAAAAGAAAAACTAAACTTACTGCATTTATACAGTATACCATGAAACTTGTTTTATGGTTACATAAATTACGGTAATAGTGTTGAAGGCGATTTTTCACAGATAAAGTTACGGATCAAACAAAGCCAATGGTGATGATGTAAGTAGTTAGACTATTGAATTATTTCAGGGCTTTCAGCTGACCCCTGACATTTAACAGGTTCGGAAGTCAAAAAACATTTGGAAGGTCCAAACATAAGTCAGCTAGACATGTCCTTCTATACCTGACAGTCGGAAGGTCATCTTAGAGAGATCAAAAGTCTACTGGTAGGCTATTTTTTCCTGTTAGAAATTAATTTCTTATAAGTTGTCTCCTAGTTCAGGTCTGGAATACTCTCCCATATGTGAAATTATTTCACTTTCCTGCTGCATTCATATCAGTGAATGTAGTGAGATTTGTCTTCCAGTGTTTATTTATGGTGACATTGTTAACCCATTCAACCGTAAAGCCATATGTTTACCTTACCAAATCAAAGACTGGACAAGTCCAGTTTAACTATGTAGGAGTGAATAAGTTAACATTGTACCGCATAAATGTGTTGTTAAAGATAACCAACGAATTTTGTTTTTATTTACTATGCACGCACATTTTTATACGCCCGTCGAAGACAGGGACGTATTATGTTATCACGTGAGCGGGCGGGCGGGCGGGCGGTCGGGCGGGCAAACGATGTCCGCTCGATATCTCGAGTAATTATTAAAGGATTAACTTCAAACTTCACAACAAGGTTAATTACCGTGAAACCTCGGACAAGTTGGATATCTGTCATTATCCGACCATAATTTGTGGATTTATGCCCCTTTATGGATTTGCCGAAACAGTGTCCGCTCGATATCTTGAGTAATTATTAACGGATTAACTTCAAACTTCACAACAAGGTTAATTGCCATGAAACCTCGGACAAGGTAGATAACCGCCATTATCCGACCATAATTTCTGGAGTTATGCCCCTTTACTTGCCGAAACAGTGTCCGCTCGCTATCTCGAGTAATTATTAACGGATTAACTTCAAACTTCACAACAAGGTTAATTACCATGAAACCTCGGACAAGTTGGATAGCTGTCATTATCCGACCATAATTTGTGGAGTTATGCCCCTTTATGGATTTGCCGAAACAGTGTCCGCTCGATATCTTGAGTAATTATTAACGGATTAACTTCAAACTTCACAACAAGGTTAATTACCATGAAACCTCGGACAAGGTAGATAACCGCCATTATCCGACCATAATTACTGGAGTTATTACCCTTGGTGTCATTAATGCGATGCATGCGTTCCATGATGTTGTATTGCACTCATTGATCTACCAGTTATGTTGAATGATTTCTCTTTTAATATCAATTACTCACAAATACTTCATATATTTCAATCATACAAACAACTGCTCATTCAATGTGTGACGGGCGTATTATATACCGCTCGCGATAACCTTGTTATGCCTTGTTTTAACATGAAGACAATTTGTTATTAATGAATACATGTATTCTGTATGTGTATGAATTTAAAATGTAAGGAATGAGAGGGATGTATGTCTATTCTAGACATCCCATTTATAGATTGAAGGAGAGGTACCATCAGTGTACCCAAAACGTAATACTTGTGGGAAATCAGCCCGAGAAAACGGCATGCAATTCAAAGAAGTAATTTTATGTTCCGGTATGCACTACCGCCAATTTACTGTATATCAGCTTTATTGGATTTTCATTATAGCCACACGCATACAGTTTAAGATTAGCCATAATTATGAAACAAAACTTTCTGAATTTAGTTGTCATGTGCCGCTATCTATTTGGATATCATTTTTAGAAGCTTACTTTTTCAAAACTAATGCAAGTTTGGAGTAGAGGTTTAATCAGAACTTCCTTTGACTATAAATAGTTGAAGTATGTGTAAATTTCTGCTTTGGTAGCTCGGGTTATAATGAAATAAATATGTGTGATGTTGGATTAGTAATGAGAATCGTCTTACAGGCAGTAAAATACGATAATTATTTCATTGTATGAATATTGATTATCATTGAATACTATTATTAAATACCAAAATGTTTAACTGAAGTGAATTAACTTTACATATGAAACTGATGAAACAAAAAACTCTTCTCTTTGACTTGTGGTTGGTATTACTTGTTTTCATGCCATTGATCATTACTTGATTTGTTAGACATTTAATGGATGGATATTTATACAATTAAAAAAAAAACAATTACCAAAATTGTCAACGTTTTCTGTGATAAATAAATACAAGTGCGATCGACAAAATCTCTGCCTTGGAATATTGACATGATCTTTTGACACTAAAGTGATTCATTACGTATTAAAAGGTTTGACATGCCATGGTGCGGTGTCCGTCGCCTTCCGTCCATCCGTCTGCCGGCCGTCGTCCTTTTGTCCGGCGTCAACTTAAACAACTTCTACTGAATAACAAAGAGGCCTAAGGTAAGGATATTTGGCCAGTTACATGCTGGGATGAAGGGCTACCAAGTTTGTTGAAATGAATTACCTTGACTTATATTCAAGGTCACGGGTCAAATATGTTTAAAACCTTTCAAAAACTTCTTGTGAATAACCAAGAGGCCTAGGGTGATGATATTTGGCCAGTAACATGCTGGAATGAAGGGCTATCAAGTTGTTCAAATGAATTACCTGGACTTATATTCAAGGTCACAGGGGTCAATTATGTTTAAAACCTTTAAAAAACTTCTTGTGAATAACCAAGAGGCCTAGCTCTAGGGTGATGATATTTGGCCAGTAACATGCTGGAATGAAGGGCTATCAAGTTTGTTCAAATGAATTTCCTTGACTTATATTCAAGGTCACAGGGGTCAAATATGTTTAAAACCTTTCAAAAACTTCTTGTGAATAACCAAGAGGCCTAGGGTGATAATATTTGGCCAGTAACATGTTGAGATGAGGGGCTACCAAATTTGTTTAAATGAATGTCCTTTACCCATTTTCAATGTCACAGGGGTCAAATATGTTTAAAACCTTTAAACAACTTCTTCTCAATAACCGAAAGGCCAAGGATGATGATATTTGGCCTGTAGCATGCTGGAATAGAGGTCAACACACTTTGTTCAAATGAGTGACCTTCGCTCATATGCAAGGTCACAGGGATCACATATGTTTAAACTTTAAATGACTTCTTCACAATAACCAAAAGGCCTAGGATGTTGATATTTTGTCAGTAACATGCTCAGATGAAGGGTTACCAAGTTTGTTCAAAAGAAAAACCTTGACATATATTCAAGGTCACAGGGGTCGAGTATGTTTAAAACCTTTAAACAACTTCTTCTGAATAACTGAGAGGCCTAGGATACTGATATTTGGCCAGTAGAATGCTCGGATAAGGGCAACCAAGTTTGTTCAAACGAATGACCTTGATATATATTCAAGGTCACAGGAATCAAATATGTTTAAAACCTTTAAAACCACTTCTTTTCAATAACCAAAAGGCATATGATTGCGAGATTTGGCCAGTAGCATGCTTGGATGAAGGGACACCCAAATTTGTTCAAACGAATTACCATCGTCCATTTTTAAGGTCGCAGGGGACAAATATGTAAAAAAAACTTTAACCAATGTCCCCTCAATAACCAAAAGGCTTAGGATGTTGATATTTTGTCAGTAGCCTGAAGGGATGATGGGCTACCAAGTTTGTTCAAATGAATGACCTCCACCAATTTCAAGGTCACAGGGGTCAAATTTGTTTAAAACCTTTAAACAACTTCTTCTCAGTAACCAAAAGGCCTATGATGTTGATATTTGGCCAATAGCATGCTGAGATAGAGGGCTACAAAGTTTGTTCAAATGAATGACCTTCGCCCATTTTTATGTTCACATGGGTCAAATATGTTTAAAACCATTTAAACAACTTTTCCTGAATAACTGAGAGGCCTATGATACTGATATTTTGTCAGTAGCATGCTGGGATGAAGGGCTACCAAGTTTGTTCAAATGAATGACCTTCACATATTTTCAAGGTCACAGGGGTCAAATATGTTTAAAACCTTTAAACAACTTCTTCTCAATAACCAAAAGGTCCAGGGTAATGATATTTGGCCAGAAGCATGCTGGTATGGAAGGCTATAACGCTGTTCAACTTAATGTCCTTGTTTGACTTTCAAGGTCATAGGCGTCATATTGTTAATAACACTGATATTTTGCCTGTAGCTGTATATTAGTCCACTTTTAAGATTACAAGGGTGAGATCAATACCAGGTGAGTGAATGGGCCTGAAGTTCAACAATATTCTTTTCTACATTGATCCATTAATACAATCAACATAAATGGATTCTATCTAGGCCGAGTTTCCTCTGGCCCTGACTACAGACAAAATGTCTAAATCTGGTGTCAGGGCCAGAGAAACTTGGGCTAGATTCTACCCTGCTTTAGATCAGAGGTGCTTTTTGTCTAAACACTCTAAATTGTCCTCTACAGCACAGTCGACCATGAATGAGCACTAGTACATGTACCAGCTGGAACCTGCCTTTCTAGGTCCAACGGACCCCGTATTCATGAAACCGTTGTCATGCTCAAGCATGGATTCTGTGCTCAAGCCAGCTTTCTTGTAACTCATCTTAATCATGTCAACGATCAAAAAGTCAATTGTAAATATTGAAAACAGTATTTGGCTTCAAGTCTCCACATTTTTTTTTCTTTCAATAATTCATAACGGGATCAAGAAATTAGGCTTGAGCACAAAATCCGTGCTTGCATGAGAATGCTTTCATGCATACGGGCCCAGGGTGTGCTTATGCCGTTCGATGGCACCCGTCGCCATTCTGTCATCAATTTCGTCAAACAGCGTTTGATGAACCGCTGAAAGCTCCCCTAGGTGTAGATTTGCTATTATCATAGTACTTGTACCTGGTTCGCTTCTTATCAGGGCCAGTATTCATGAAACCGTTCTCATACTCAAGCATGGCTTCTGTGCTCAAACAATCTCTCTTGTAACTCACTTCTTTAATCATGTCAAACGATCAAAAAGTCAAATGTACACATTGGAAACACTATTCGACTTTTAGTTTCGTCAATGTTGTTCAAATCATTGCCAGAATAAGATTTTGTTTTATTAATTTATAACCGGAACAAGAAATTGGGCTTGAACACAATTTCCATGCTTGAGCGTGAGAACGGTTTCGTGAATATGGGCCTAGGGTTTTATTGGCCAAGAAATCGAACACGTTGAAAGTCTTTTTCATGTTTGAAATATTTCCTGATTCATGTTTGAAATCTTTCCTGAGCAATGCTTACTGAGCAAGCAGTTTGTGTCTCTGTGAGTCGTCGGTCACTCGAGCTCATCACCATAGCGTGAGTTGTCTCGAACTGTTTAAGATTTCCTGGATATGGGACATCTTCAAGACTTCCTCTGTAGCGGAAGGGACATCCTGTTGTGTTTTCACAGATAGCTTTAGCCGCTAGGTCCCATTTTTCTGCAGATAATTTATACAGTCGTTTCATCCAAGTCTGTCCACTTTGCAAATATAACCGAACATTGATTATTTTGACGTGCTACCGCAAATTGACCACATGGTAAGGCTGTTGGTTGTATGCCCGTTTATAGTCTGTGCAGTGTACATAACAAAGATGAACGAAAACACACTTTCTAAATTCTATCTATACTAACT